TGACCCTAGCTATACCTGCCTAACCCTAGTTTGGCCTGTCACCCTAGTTAACCCTATCTACCCCTAGCCGTAGATAACCCGTGCTAAAACTCAACAGCCCCCAGCCACTACCTCCACTCCAGATATCACAATCATGTTGCCTTTTAGCCACATACCTGACGAAGGTGATGGATTCTATTAGTTTTGGCCAACGTATAGCAACGGAATCGGGAATTGTACGGCCACGGTTCTCGCCCAACCTCAGAATCCTGTCCTGAGTTGCCCTAGCAGAATGGTTTCTGTACAACCACCAACCGTTACGATCAAACCTTAATGGCCAAAATCACCTCAGGTCTGCAAACTCACATCGGTGCTTCTGGACAAAATCCGGCCTCATTCAGCTTCAGACCCTGAGTAATTCTCCTTGGAGCAGGCTGTGGATCACACCTTCGGTAAGCCAGTAGACCGAAACCTGACTTTGAGAGACGGTGATGTCTTTTAGAAAAAAAGATGGTACATTCCAAATCACCGAGAGCTCAAACCAAAAATCATGAGCGCCCTACATGATTCGAAGCCCGCAAGCCACTTGGGTTAATTCAAAACTGCAGAGCATCTTCGGGCACTGTTCTTTTGCCCAAAGATGGACAATGATATGGGAGAATACGTACGGAGTTGCGATACATGTCAAAGCAATAAAAGCTCCAGTCATGAGAAGTACAGGAAGCTACCACATTTAGAGGTCCCCAATACACCTTGCAGCTCCATCTCGATGGACTTTTTCATCAGTATGCCAGAATCTGAGGCCTATACCCGTATCGGGGTTATTGTTGAACGCTTTACCAAAATCACCCACTTCATACGGCTCAAGACCGAGGCAACAATCAAGGAACTTGCGCATATATTCCTTCAAGAAATATGGCGACTAAATGGACTATCTGAAGAAATCATTTCTGATCGGGACTTCAGATCCGAAAGCAAGTTCTGGCATTCATTGATCAAGCTTCTCGGAGTCAACCTCTGTATGTCTACGGCATATCGTCCTCAAGCTGACAGGTAAACTGAGAGGGTCAATCAAACGCTAGAGCAATATTTCAGAAACTTTTGGTCCTACCAGTAGGATGATTGGGCAGGGTTACTCCCGCTTGCAGAGTACACCTACAAAACGGCAACCCAATAGTCCACTAAAGTATTTCAGTTCTACGTGAACTATGGGTTCAAGCCTGATTCCAATTGGCATTCGCACAGAAGGAAGCTAGACAATGCCAATGTTTCCAGCGCCGTACTAAAGTTCAAGTGGAACGCTCTTTGGAAAACTATGAGGACTGATATTTTTAAGGCACAGGCCCGGCAGAAGAAATGATATGACCAGAAGCATATGAAAGCTCCAGAACCTGAAGATGGGGATAAGGTGATGATGGACCAACGCAATATGGTTGCCAATCGACTTTCATGGATCGACTAGTGAATATACTGGGTTACGAGAAGTTGGATTAGTCAGAAGGATTCTATTTGATTCTATTGGGTTCCGTGGGTCGTAAGCGTGTGAGTCACTTTGGATTTGTCATCGCTAGGATTTCCTTGGGTATATTAAGGGGTTTTTGCTTCCGTTTCTTGTTCTTTTCCTTCTCTTTCTTTTACTACGCAACGTCTTCTGTATCTACGCTGTCTATTGCTATACAATATTATCGTCCTCTTCTTTACTCAAGAAGACCACCGCCTCACTTCCCCTTGTCTCGTGACCCTTACCGACGCCAGAGTCCCTTAGAACCCCTATTACGAGTTCCCATACCGTTCCCTACTACACTCTTCGTACCCTGCGGAATACTCGCTACTCGCCCCCTTGAGATTACGTTGCGTCGTCATCCGCACCGTACGACATGTCTACCCCCGACCCACCTACATGGGCCCCACCCAACGATGTAGAAGAATTCAAGCGGCAGTATGAGGTCGACTCTGCCGAATTATTCAACAACATCGCCGTCCTTGTCCAGCGCATCCGCCTCCAGAGGGACACCCTTAGTACACAGTTCGCCGCTGCCAATGAAACCATTGACAACCTCGAGGAGCAGGTAACCCGGCTCAACCTCGACCTCAATGCCGCCCGTACCGCCCCCGCCCCTACCGTCGCTGTCCCCGTTGCCGCTGCTCCCCCACCCGCTACTGCCCCCGCCTTCAGGTCCGAAAAGTTTCCAGACCCCGAAAAATTCGATGGCACCCGTACCAAGCTCCCCGGATTCACCACCCAACTTCGAATGAAACTTGAAGTCAACCACGATCGGTTCCGAAACGAAGCAGCAAAGGTTATTTACGCCGTCAGTCGCTTGGAAGGAAGGGCCCTTGACCAGGTCGTTCCACTCATTAACGCCAACCCTGCGGCCCCCTTCTCCTCCGTCACTGCCTTCGTTGCCCACCTGGAAGCCTCGTTTGGAGACCCAGACCCCCGAGGCACCACCCGTCGCCAACTCGTCGCCCTGAAGCAAGGCAAAGGGGACTTCGCCACCTATTACTCGCAGTTCCTCCGCATTGTGGCATACCTGGACTACAACGAAGGAGCCAAGATCGATGCCCTGGCTGAAGGACTGTCGGAAGACCTGAAGGACACCATGACATACCGGACCGACAGGCCTAATACCGTCGAGGCATACGCCACCATGTTGATGACAATTGACAACCAGGTTCGGGGCCGTAAAGCTGAACAACGGGCCATTCGGGATACGATGGGACAATTAACCGCCCCCGCCGCTGTCGCACACCCATCTCACACCGCCGGAGGCCTCGCCCCAATGGACCTCTCCACCTTCCAAGGCCGTCCCGCTCAACGTCCTGCCGCTGAACAACGTTACACCTTCGTCAATGGGCAACGTAAAACCTCTGCTGCCGAAAAACAATGGCGAAGGGACAACAAGCTCTGTATGTACTGCGCCAACCCCGGCCATGTCTTCACCAACTGCCCCTCTGCCAATCGCCCACGTGGTAATCAACCAGTTATGAGGGGCGCCCTGCTCGTACCCGCTCATAATGCCGCCGACCCCGCTCCCCCACCGATCGCTAGTCCGGCCTCTTCCGAGTCGGGTTTTCAGTAGTCCCGGGCTTGATTAATGGCCCCTGCCCGGGACCTTCTAATGTTTCTCCTTTGTCTGCGTTCTCTATCTCTGGCTTCTCGGTATCATCTGTGGAGGATAAATTGGATGGGGATCATTTTGTTGCTTCGTGTAAAATTGTAAACAATAAAATACCCATTCAAACCTACGCATTGATTGATACCGGTTGCTCCGGGTTCGCATTCATTGATGAAACATTCGCGCGCCATAACAACCTCCCATTTCTTCCCCTTAAATCACCCCGTACTCTTGAAGTCATCTACGGACGGCCCATATCCTCCGGACAGATTACCTACCTCTGCTACCTACCGCTATCGATTGACTCCCACCATGAAACTATCCCCTTCTTCGTCACTAAACTCGGCTCATACCCACTCGTACTCGGAATTCCTTGGCTCCAATTACACGACGCCACATTACGGTTTAAGGACAATAGCATACTGTTCGACTCCGAATACTGCAAGCGCAAGTGCAACTCCTCCGTAACACCCGTTCCCATCAGAGGGATTACACCACCACCCCGTTTCCACCTCGTCAGTTCAGCGGCTCTCTGCCGCTTCGCTCGAAGGGACAAGCTCCAAATCTTCAGTACAACTATCGAGGAAATAGACCGAGCCATGGGCGAGCCCCTTAAGAAAGACTGGAGGAACCGAGTCCCAACCCGATACAAGAGGTTCCATAAGATGATGGACGAGAAGTTCGTTAACGAGATGCCGCCTCGCCGCTCCTATGACCATAAAATACCGCTTAAGGAAGGAAAGGAGTCCCCGTTTGGGCCACTTTATGGTATGTCCAGTGAGGAGCTCATCGTACTTAAGCAATACATACAGGACAACCTCCAAAAAGGCTTCATTCAGGCCAGCTCTTCGCCTGCCGGTGCCCCTGTCCTATTTGTTAAAAAAGCCGATGGAACACTCCGTCTCTGTGTCGATTATCGTGGCCTCAACGAACTCACTGTAAAAAACCGCTATCCGCTGCCGCTCATCCGGGAAACTCTCGACCGCCTCTCCAAAGCCAAGTGGTACACCAAGCTTGACCTTCGCCAAGGGTATAATCAGATCTGAATGGCTAAGGGTGAAGAATGGAAAACAGCCTTCCGTACGCGTTACGGACATTTTGAATATACAGTGATGCCCTTCGGCCTTACCAATGCGCCGGCCACCTTTCAACATTTTATCAATGATTGCGTCCGTGACTACCTTGATATGTTCTGTACAGCCTATCTTGACGATATTCTCATCTACAGCGACACCTTCGAGAGACATCAAGTACACGTCGAAAAGGTCTTGGAAGCCCTACAAAGAAATGGAGTACTGCTGAAACCAGAGAAATGCGAATTTCATACACAAAGCACCACCTACTTCGGCCTCATCATCGAACCCAATGGTATTAAAATCGATCCAAGGAAAGTGGAGACAGTGAAGAATTGGACCGTCCCCAAAACAGTTAAGGATATGCAAGCATTTCTAGGTTTCGCTAATTTTTACCGCCAATTCATACGTGGGTTCTCGGAACTAACTTCCCCCCTTACCAGACTGACACGCAAGGATATATCGTTCGAATGGACACCCGGAGCCCAAACTGCCTTCAACGCCTTGAAAGAAGCCTTTACCACCGCTCCCATCCTTACTCATTTCGACCCGGAGAAAAAAATTACCGTGGAGACCAATGCATCTGACTATGTCTCTGCCGGTGTATTCTCCCAATATGATGATAATGGTACCCTTCGACCCGTCGCATACTTCTCAAAAAAGCACTCCCCCGCCGAATGCAACTACGAAATTTACGACAAGGAATTACTGGCGATTATTCGATCCTTTGAGGAATGGCGACCGGAACTGGAAGGGGCTGCACACCCAATCGCCGTCATATCCGATCATAAGAATCTCGAATACTTTATGAGTACTAAACAACTCAACCGGAGACAAGCCCTGTGGGCGGAGTATTTATCACGGTTTAATTTTGTCATCAAGTACCGACCAGGGAAACAAGGAGGGAAACCGGACGCGTTGACAAGAAGATCAGGAGATCTCCCTGGAGAGGGGGATGAAAGACAATTACACCAGAGTCAAGTTGTAAGGAAGAAGGAAAATCTTGATGCAAAGCTAAGTTTCTTGGCGGATTCTTTCTCAAATGAGCCCGCTGAAAAGAACGCCTCACTGAATAGTCTATTCGATGAAGAATATAGCGCTGACCCGTTTCCACAAAAGATACTGGATATGCGGAACAAAGGTGAGCGACAATCAAAGGACATATCACTCGGCGAATGCACCGAAGTTGAAGGCCGGTTGCTTTACCGAGGCAGCATATATGTACCCGACTACGACCCTCTCAAGCTCCGAATCCTCCAACTTTACCATGACGCTGCCTCCGCCGGACAACCTGGACGTGAAAAAACATTCGAACTTATCAGTCGAGACTACTACTGGCCCCTTATGCGGAATTATATTGCCCGCTACGTTCGGAACTGCCACACCTATCAACGAAGCAAACCCAACACCCATGGAAAGCTCGGCGTACTTCGACCTTTACCAATTTCCGAACAACCATGGCAGGAGGTATCAATGGACTTCGTCACTGGCCTACCGGAGAGCGAAGGGTACGATGCAATTATGGTGGTTGTTGACCGGTTAACAAAGATGCGACATCTTCTGCCCTTTAATACCACCGTTAACTCCGAAGATGTCGCCCAACTATATCTGCGGAATATATGGAAGCTCCATGGGCTACCCACACATGTCACCTCCGACCGCGGTACGCAATTCACAGCCAAGTTCTGGAAGGCTCTCTGCAAACACCTCAACATTGAAGCAAGAATGTCCACCGTCTTCCACCCGGAGACCCACGGCCAAACTGAAAGGCTGAACGCCGTAATGGAGCAATATCTATGTGGTTATGTCTCTTATCAACAGGACGATTGGGTAAAATGGCTTCCTATGGCAGAATTCTCCGCCAATAATCAGGTCTCCGCATCTACCAAAGCTACACCATTCTTGGCGAACTATGGTTTCCACCCTCGGTTCACAGTGACGATCAAATCGCTTGACAGGACCCCACCAAGCCTTAATGCTAAAGAGTTCGCTTTGAAGATGAAAGAACTCCACCAACACCTACGCTCCAATATCCGCACAGCGCAAGACCAACAAGAACAGGCCGTCAATACCAAACGAACGCCGGCTCCGCGGTACGACATTGGCGATATGGTGTTTGTTTCAGCAAAAAACATCCGAACCACCCGTAACTCTCGGAAGTTGGACTGGAAGAAGCTGGGACCATTCCCCGTCAAAGAATTCATATCGCCATATGCGTACCGAATCGACCTGCCTAGGAGTATGAAGGTGCACCCCGTCTTCCACGTATCGTTGCTAAACCCCGCTGCAAATGACCCCGTTCCAGGGCAAACTCAACCACCACCCCCGCCTATTATCGTTGAACAGGAGGAGGAGTATGCAGTTGAGGAAATCTTGGACTCGAGGGAAACAAGAAATAACGGCCTGCAATACTTTGTTAAATGGATAGGCTATACTGACCCCACCTGGGAGCCCGCCGCATACCACGAAAATGCCGCCGCCGTTGATGTCTTCCATACATGTTACCCCGATAAACCTGGACCGTTGGAAGGAAAGATTAAGGTTAAGGCTCGCAGGAGCTCGCGTTTGAAGGGGGGGGCTACTTTCATGGATCGACTAGTGAATATACTGGGTTACGAGAAGTTGGATTAGTCAGAAGGATTCTATTTGATTCTATTGGGTTCCGTGGGTCGTAAGCGTGTGAGTCACTTTGGATTTGTCATCGCTAGGATTTCCTTGGGTATATTAAGGGGTTTTTGCTTCCGTTTCTTGTTCTTTTCCTTCTCTTTCTTTTACTACGCAACGTCTTCTGTATCTACGCTGTCTATTGCTATACAATATTATCGTCCTCTTCTTTACTCAAGAAGACCACCGCCTCGCTTCCCCTTGTCTCGTGACCCTTACCGATGCCAGAGTCCCTTAGAACCCCTATTACGAGTTCCCATACCGTCCCCTACTACACTCTTCGTACCCTGCGGAATACTCGCTACTCGCCCCCTTGAGATCGACCCTCAAGCAAGCTTGACTACAAGAAACTATGTCTCTTTGAGGTTGATGAGAAACTTGTTGTTGCGTTCTACAGGCTGAAGCTTCCCTCTCAATGGAACATTCATGATGACTTCCAAATATTTCTGCTGGAGTCCTATCGGGGACTGAAATACCCTCGACGCACTGAAGTCCCTCCTACTCCATATGAGGTCGAAGGAGAATACAGTCACGTTCTCCGACAAATAGCTAATAGCCGATGGCAACATGCTAGGCATTAGAAAATGTTTGTAGAGTATCGCATTGTTTAGGAGGGCTATCGTTCGGAAGACTCCTGGGAACCATATGAAATTCTGCAAAGAAGAGCCGATGAGGCCCTGAAAGTATTTCATCAAAAATACCCGCAAAAACCTCGGAAAATACGGTGAAACTTTAGGGATCCTCAAAACACGGCTTGAGTAGCTCTGTATCTCAGAAGAAATCTGGGAACAAAAACCAACTCTCCTGTCCCAGGTTTTTCATCTGTCTGACAGAGTTCGGATACCATTTTTCCCTGAAAACAATGCAAGAAACGATAGAAAACCGAAGCGTGAGGAAACCCACGTAAAAAAGACAAGGGAAAAAGAGAGATTCTTGCTAACATCGAAATCTCCACTAGTGGAACGGAAGGTTCTACGACAAGAGTGGAGAATATGTCATTTTCTTTGTTTTAAAAGGCGTTTCATTTTAGAGTTTTCCTTCTCTGATGGAGATAGAAACAGACATGTAGTTTGTACGTAATCACCAATAGAGCTACTGTTTTTCTTCTATGCCAAATACTAATATTCCAGTAACACTACAGTGGACTGAAAACGAGTCTACCATAGAGGAGAGTAATGTAACAGTGCCACTATGAGGCTGTTACAAAAGAACCTATTTCATCAGTTAAGCCACCGACCTTAAGTAACAGCAGTTTGTTCTTCATCGACGTGTGAAGACAAGAGCAGTTGGGCTCGTACCTTTATTCGTATAGAGGACAGGGATCTCGATGAGTAAGAAGTCTTATAAGTTAAAAATAGGGCGCTGAGCAAGCCTGGAACAGAAGTACAAAGATGGCTGATAGCACAGGGAACCCAGGACGGGAGTTCCCTACCTAGGCAGTCGAATCTTTGAGGTTTCATATCTCTGCAACCAACGCTCAAAGACCATGCTTTAGAACGACAGACATGATTCTGGCGGTGTCCCGGAGCCAATGGGAAATCTAATTCAAAAAACAGGTTTTAATCCCCAACACTAACCTCCACAGTGTCAAACTGCCGGAATGCTCCTTTTTTGCTCCGGAGCATCTTTGGGGAGTGGGAGTGCGACTCAAGCTACTAAAGCAAAACTTCGGTTTACAAACACTCAAATCGGTTCTAATAAAGTTAGAATAAACAATTATTATCTGGTCGGCTGTTTCCAATAGTTCTTAAGATTCCGACCACAGCTTTCGGCAAATTGCATGATTTGACTCGGACAGAAGTTCATTCAAGGTGTTGTAGTTACTCTCCTCTCCCTTGATAAAAAATAGTTGCTGTACCCCCGACTATCAACAGGCAGATTGTCAGTCGGAAAAAGAACTTGAGCAAACGTGCCGTATTCCTATAAGGCACTCGGTGTTGGCCCAGGTTGGCCTCTCATCATCAACGGATCTTTAATAGAGAGGAGACCCATTAAAGTTATAATTTTCTAGACTTGGGAACGTTCAAACATACAAACTGCCATTTTCTTCTTTCTGAACGAGTATCATCAAAACTCGCTCTCTTTATTTACACTATTCGAAAGGAAGTCACGGTTGTGCCTCATCATAGCATGTCAGTTACATGTGGTTTTCGATCGTCACTGACATGGTCAAATATGATTCCACCATATTGGGTCTGTCCGTTCGATATGTCATGACGTCTCTAAAGTTGTCCGACAATCTTTCCGGCAATTCGTCGATCTTGACTCCTTTGTTGTAATGCAAGTGGGACACGTTTCTGATGAACTGTGAGTAGTAGGTGGCAAAGTCTCCTTTGCCTTGCCTCAGGGGGACGAGTTGGCGGTGGTTGGTACTTTGAGTGTTTAGTTCTCTAAATGAGCCTTCCATGTGGGCGACGAAGAAGGTGACGGAGGAAAAGAAGTCAGCAGGATTGGCGTTAACAAGTTGTATGACCTGATCGCGGGCTCTTCCCTCCAAACAGGTGACCGCATGGATAACCTTTGCTGTCCCATTGCCGAAATGATTATGGTTGACTTCGAGCTTCATTCGGAGTTGGGTAACAAATCCGGGGATTTTGGTCCGGATATCATCGAACTTTTCAGGGAACGTTTCAGACCCAAAGGTGGAGAAAGTGGTTGGTGCAGTAGCAGCGAAAACGGGGACAGGAACATTGGGGGCAGGGGCAGTGTGGTCAACATTGAGGTCAAGGTTGACCTGTATTACTTGCTCTTCCAGGTAGTCAATGGTTTTGTGGGCGGCGGAGAGCAGTGTACGAGCACTATCCCTCTCATGTCGGATGCTTTAAAACATAGTAGGGAGGTGGTCAAACAGGGCAGCAGTATTCTATTCGTACTGATGGTTAAACTGCTCGATTTTGTTAGATGAGATACATGTAGGTCGGTTGGGGGTGGACATGGCGTATAGTGCGGATTACGACCCAACGTAATCCTAGGGAGTTGGGTAGCGAGTATTCCGCAGGGTACGGGAGATGGTCATGGGGGCTAGTAAGTTAGTCAGCGAGAGGGGATGAAGAAACTTGCAATAGTTTAGGACTAGCGGTGTTAAGGTCGGAGAAGTGAGATGGCCTCCTTATAAAGGAAGAGAAAATAGTACTTGAATAGCAATAGCCAGCGTAGATTACCTATGCCTTTGGATACGAAAAGAAAGAGAAGAAAAGAGAGGGAAAGAGAATAAAATCGAGGGCAAAGCCCCTTAATATACATAAAGAAAGCTTAGCAATCACAAATCCAAAGTGACTCATACCCTTGAAATCGACGGAATCTTCTAGAAATCCATAGAATTTTTCTGATCAATTCGACCCTTTGTAACCTACTATATTATTCAATCGATCTATGAAATCGGACAAGGTTTTAGGATCTGAATTGGGTTACACTGAGAACGTTCAAGCAATTGACTGCTTTACTGACCGCCAGTCAGCTCAAATATGACATTCTCAATCAAAAGCATTCATAGTCCTAATTCTAAAGGCTTGGGGGAATTCGGGCGCATACTGTTAATAGGTAGGTGAGGTGGAACAGATGTTATCTTGCGGACATCGTCAAATTCCTACCCGTTTACAAAAATACAAAATATCAGGATACACGTTATGAAGACTGTTATCAATTAAAACAATGAGTTTTAGATATAAGTGCTGAATATTGTTCAGTCTCATGTTCAGAATATGATCATAGATTGTATATATTTCAGAATGGATTGGAAAGCCGCAACCTCGTGTTTTGGGAGAAGATATTTTGCAAACCGTAGTGCAGTATTCAATCTATTCAATATTGATCCAGAACATGGTATACCAATCAAGCCATCAAATACATTGAGTATCAATTTCAGTATTTTACTGCGCTAATAAATATTCATAGCTTTCAAACCTTCATCATCAGCAAACTCTACTATTCCTCAGGGCGCAGCGCCTACGCCCTGGGCGCCAGGCACGTCAGGCGCCGACAGGGCAGAGTGCTCGTGCCAGGCATCGCCAGGGCAGGGTCCTCACGCCAGGCGTCGCCACAGCAGGGTGCTCGCGCCAGGCATCGCCACAGCAGGGTGCTCGCGCCAGGCGATCCTAGCATCCGCGCCCGACGCCCCCAGAGCAGTATGTTCTCTGGCTGGCAGCACCAGGGTGCATAATCGTCTATACACTCCGCCAAAGCGCAGTGCCAATCATCTGACCACGTCAGAGAAGAGAGCTTTTCACGACTGCAACTCGAGCACTCGCTCCAAGCAGTCCGCTGTCAGAGCAGCATATTCGCACTCCCTAATGAGCTTCTTTGCACTCGCTAATGCTACTGTCTACAGAGTACTCTGAGCGATATCACCTACATCCATAGAGCACCCAGCAATGCTCTCTCCGCAATCTTCTCTAGGCGCGTCGTGCACTTTCACGCGTCATGCACCTCCAGGCGATATGGTGCTCGTCCTGAGAGCACCCGGCGATGCTCCCTCCACCATGACACGCCTGGGTATGCCTCCTGCGTCTGGAGAACGATCAACTAATGAGTTTCCGCCCAGGGACTGGCAACGAATCACGGACGTGTCGGGGCCTGCCAGGAGACAGCGTCAGCGCCCTGACAGCACTCGTCAGTAATATCTGCGCCAGGAGATCAAATCACAACGAGCTGCTCGCCAGGCACTGCCAGAGCATATCGCTCACGCCTAGAGAGCACTCGTCAGTACTATCTGCGCCAGGAGAGCATTTTCAACGAGCTGCTCGCCAGGCACCGCCAGAGCATATCGCCCACGCCAAGACACTCTTCGTCAATGAGTTTTTCCAGGCACTGCCAAGAGATATTGCTCACGTCCGGAGAGCACCACGAATGCTTCCATAGCACTGACCAATGCTCGTAGAGCTGCGGAAACATCTTTAATAATACTATTCAAGGTGGGAGACCCCCCACTTAGACCCATATGAATCGATACGCTTTCTTCAAAGGCAAGGTAGGCATCGCCGGTCCCTCAAACGATATCTCACGTGGGTATTCTTCACGCCGCTGAACGGTCAGTCGCGGAATACTGATACGAGCACTGTCGTGTATACTGGAGATGGCTACCAAACCTTTGACGAACGTGTATGTATCTGTCGATTCGTGGAAGGCATAAGCCTTGAGGTTGAGGCCATGGTACGGCTCGTCTGAAAAGCTCAATGTCCATGCATAAGCAGCAAACATGGACTGGAAAAAGGTGCAGGATGACTTTACTGGTCGGAAGACCAATGCCTGCCTACCGCGCCCTCCTGGAGCTGGCTTGCTGGATAGTCAGACTCAGATACTGAGCGGCCGATACTCACCTCCCTCTTCCAATCCGCATGCGTACTAGCAGAACGACACGAATTTTGAATTAGACGGTCCTATTGGGTCTAACATTCCACTCGTAGAGCACTCGCCACTGCCCTCAGAGCATTCACTGAATAGCACCCGGTATTCCTCTCATATCACTGGATAGCACTCGGTATTCCTCTCATATCACTGGATAGCACTCGGTAATCCTCTCACATCACTAGATAGCACTCGGTAATCCTCTCACATCACTGGATAGCACTCGGTAATGCTCTCACTGGATAGCACCCGGTAAGCCTCTCACATCACTGCATAGCACTCGGTGATCCTCTCACATCACTGCATAGCACTCGGGAATGCTTTACAGCATTCAACTGAATTCATTCCACGTACGCAAATCTATCCTAGTATTTACCAGCCAATTGCCAGCATCCACCTCGAACAAATAGGCCATTCCTAATATACTCCGAATATTCACGACCCACATCCTCTTCCTCCTCCTCCTACAGACCTTCAGCAGCCCATGTGAGCTATCAGCGATACAACGATCCTTCACCTCAAGCAGCTCAACTACACATAGTCTATGTGCGCGCCCTGTGCTATCCCGCACCTTGAACAGAGCCTCCAAACGTCCTGGTAAGCGTCCCCGAAACACTCCCCACTGCTCTGAAGAACCTACCGATATCCATGCCCAATCCTTTCTTATTTTCCCCTTCCTAAAAGATGCTGTTCCCGTACACCTGATGTTGTGAACCTCGTATACGTCAGGCCTTTGGAAGATTGGTATTGGAACCTGCAAGCATGTGAAAACCACCACCCGGTGCTCCAACATGCTCTCAGAGCTTCCGGCAAAGCTCTGAGAGCATCCCGCATCCTCGGCATACTCCTTTATCAGGCGATATAGCGTGATATGGCTCATTTGCAGTCCGTCTGCCACGTTGAAAAGTCTTTCCGATTTCGCGGAGGGGTTGCAAAGACGCTTCAGTGGCAGTCCGCTTTCTACTATTGAGCGTTCGTTTGGCGTTTTCTTGCGGCCCTCGATGTTGAAAATGTCGAGCAACTCCTTGAGGTTATCCCGATGGCTCCAGAGGATGTCGTCAGTACTCTCAGAACCTCCGACGATGTCTTTCAGATTCAGAATTCGAATCTCTAACGCCAATCACCTCCCTCCATAGTCCAGTATCTGCGTCGCAGCATCAACCTTGTTGGACGCTCTGTAAGCTTCTTTTACCTGCCGTACATGGGCAAGCTCGCTGACGTCCGTGGAGTATTGAGGAATGCTACCAAAGCGCTCAACGTGCTCCCGGTAGTGCATTAAGACGTGCAATTTGATGAAGTTGAAGTGCGATCTTTCCCGAATCTCCCGGATCTCCTCCAAGCCTCGCTGGGTGCTCTGGGAGCCACTAATTGCTTTCGTTCGATCTCTCGCATCCTTTAACGTCTTCTTGTACGCCCTGAATTCTGAAAAGATATCCTTGTGTTTATGGAAATCCTCGAGATAGCTCTCCATATAGTCCAGTGTGCTCGTTGTATGACTCCTATATTGCGCCATTAAGTGGAAGTCTATTAGGCTTCGAACGCATTTCAAAGCTTTTGCGAAGTCGCTCCTGACAGCCACTCCCGGGTTTCTCAGAGCAGCCGCGAGTGCTCCTAGAACGACCCGCCCCAGATTCCGCATCTCTTTCCCTTGCCATTGGGTGGTAGAACGATATGCCTTGTTTGGTACTGCTAGTCCAGGGTAAGGCGCAATCGAAGCCCAAGCTTTGTCGAATTCCTCCAATCGATGATGCTTCTTCAAGAAACCCTGAATCCACTCCATCATGTGCTTCAACATCCCCAGGTAAATATTGTGCAGTATGTCCGGTTTATTGAGATCGTACGGATTAACCCTCGGCATACCCCAGAAAGCATTGAAGAGTGTTTTGACGGATCTCCCAACAAGGTATTCTACCGGTTCTAGATTGCCCGGGTTCTCGCCAAATAGCTGTACCCTCTCCCTGTAGTCCTCGTGATTGCGCATAGAGCTTCGACGAGTGCTCCCAAGATTGTGAAACTCCACCTCGCATCTCGGGCAAGCACTAGTGCTAATGTTTTGCAAGTTTGAATGCTCGGGTTGATCGGCGATCCAGCCCGAGAGCACCGGAAAGCATAGTCGTTCGTAGCCATCGGCGCATTTGATTAGCTCGCCCTCCTGAGAGCACTCGCGAATGCTTTGAAAGATCTCCCCAAGGGCACGATGCAGTGCCATTTGACTCTGACGTCTTAAAACGCAATTAGCGAGTGTTGTATTCTTTCCGAGCTTCGGTGGCACTGGTAGCAGCCCTAGGAGAATGAATGAATGCCCTGTGGGCTTGTTGCGCACCGACGACTTGATGTTCCCGATGGTAAGATAGATTGGCCAGGCTTTCTTGTCCCCGCTGAAATTTGTCAGATGTGTGCCATCCGACGCGCAGATAATTGGTATGACAGTGGACCCCTCCGGTAACGTATTCTGTCGAGAAGACATTAGCGACTGCTCCTGTGGCATCATCGACTGCTCATAGAGCACCTCAAGTTGACAGGGTGAAGTTTACGGACCTGTATCTCCCACCACCAATCTCCTGTATGCATTTCCCCGTACATTCGCTCGCCGAATTCATTATGCTCCACCACGGGCGAATACACCAATGACTCCCGGAAGGCACGTTGCCCTAGAAGATATCGGACGACTACCATTGGATCCCGGTAGTAGTAAGAGATCTTCTCCCCCCCAATATCCACCTCCGAATGATTCCAGCTCGCCTTTCCCAGTATATCGTTCATTTCCTCCAACCTCTTGATAAAACCCCGCCCAGTGCTGTAGGAGCACTCGCCACTACTCGGCGGAGCGTGTAGAAAGAAGCTGTCAATGTTCCCCTGTGAGGCTTTGGACAGTGTGAAATAGCGTGCTATTCTGAACTCGTATACTGACCAGAATGGGTGCCATGGGTATTGGAGAAGTCTCTGTGAGCACTCGTCGTAGTCCTCCGAGCGGTAAAGTGGCTCCCCAGCACCCTCGTAAACTGTCGTAGATGCCCTACTATGCCCATTTGAATCGCCATCTGCCTCTTCAATCACGAAATATGATTCGGATTCGAGGTCCGAATTGTTACCCGAATCTTGGTCGAAAATGTCCGACTCTGAATCGTAATGCGTGTCTGAATAGTAATCGGGAATGCTCTCTGGGCTCTCGTCAGTGTTGTCGGGGGTCTCTGCAGGTTGATCGTGCTCCAGCAGTGAATATTGATTTCCCAGCCATTCATCTGCTTCCAAAGGATGGATCGTTGGAAGATGTCTGTCAAAATTCCCGGAGGAGCTGTACCTCTTGCTGCAAAAAGGGCAAGACGATTTCATTGGACTCGAGAATTTGCAGTCTGCCAAGGCGGAGGCTCTTTCCTGCAGGCGGTGCAGAGTGCTCTACGAACGATTTGTCATCCAATGAGGCTCTCGCCGCCAAGCGGTTGTGCAGAGTGCTCTACAGAGTGCTCGCTGCAGAGCGCTCGCCAAGTGATTGTGAGCCTTGCGCTCGCACCTCCACCATAGCGAGGCTGATTTTGACGTCATACATCTCCAATGGAATAATGCAAACACAAACACAAGCATACAACGAGAAGAAACAACAATCACCACAATCATGCCGCCAACGATGCTCCGTTCTACCCTCTCAGCATTCGCTCTCTCTCTCTGAGCACTCGCGGATGCTATTCAGATCATGGAGAGACCATTCTCACCGCCAAATTTGATACTAATATCGGATATGGACTCAGAGGATACACACTCTCCGACTCAGCTTCATAGCGCACAGAGCCCCGACACCAACAAGAACACAAACACCAACCCAACATAGGAATCCAATCGACACCACTGTTGGTACTACCGTCAGAGCATTCCCGAGTACGCCTAGAGCATTCATCTACGTCATTCAATTGAATCAAACCTCCAGAGTAGAATCTTCGAGTGCGCCTAGAGCATTGATCTACGTCATGTATTGGAGCAAACATTCAGCACGGCTTGGAGCACCATATGCAGCACTGTTGGGAGCGACCGGGGGTGCTCGTACAGCACCCGAGGATGCTCGTATAGCACACGGGGGTGCTCTCGGAAGCATGATGAGCCCTGGAATAGCTGATTGTATTCGGTATAAGAGCACCCTTCTCCTCCTTCCAGATCGTGAGAGCTTCCTAACTATCTTCCAGCGCTACCTATCACTTCAAGCCCCTCCCTGCTATCTAAGCTTTCAAGATACCTCTTGAAAGCGCATTCAGCTCACGTTTCAAGTTTAGGCTTCAACTTGAAGTTTTAAGTTTCGTTTCAAGTTCAAGCTTTCAAGCTGCACACCTAGCGATCATATATAAGCTGGTATATCCTCCTTAATCCTATTGCTTTCAGAACCATACTCATCACATATTCACTATAGCCTTCATCCTCCCCTCAGGGCACTCCAGAGCGCTCACAGAAGAAGCGAGATCGCGATCCAGACACCGACGAATCAGATAGCAAAAAACGCCGAAGGAAGGAAAGGAAGGAGAAGAAGAAGGAGAAGAAGAAGGAGAAGAAGGAGAAGAAGAAGGAGCAGAAGAAGAACGAGAAGTCCTCCCCTTCCTCGTCTCGCAAAGAGCAGAAAAGCCTCCAGCCTATCCCAGAAGAGATAGAAGAGACACCCCCGCCGCAGTCGTCGTCTTCCCGGAAGCATCCCCGAGTGGTTTCAAGCTCCCGACAGCACTCGTCACCACCCCCTCAGCACTCGTCACCATCTCCTCAGCACTCATCACCGCCCACTCGGCACTCGAGGCTCTTCCCAAAAGAGTTGGAATCAGTGCAATCTGAAGCCGAGTCCGACAGCGAAGGTTCCGTAGCAGGCACAGCAGCAGGCCCAGCAGGCCCAGCAACACACTCCGCAAAGCGCTCAGCAGCACGCACAGCAGCAGGCCCAGCAGGCCCAGCAACACACTCCGCAAAGCGACCAGCAGCAGGGACAGCAGCAGGCCCAGCAGCAGGCCCAAAACCCCAAGGAGGACGAGCACTTCAACGAGTCTCCAGCACTTCCCCAGAATTGGGCAGCTCGCCGCCACAACCGTCGGCCCCTGTCCATAGAACCGTACTCCCAGTTGGTGCCCCTGCTCCAGAAGCAGTCGCCAGTGCTTCACAGAGCTCTCAATCCCGACGTCGCCGTCGGCTACCAATACCTAGTTCCCCTCCACCGGCAGAGCAGAGGCAAAGCCGCAGAGATCGTGCCCCAGAAACTCCCTCGCGTGCTCAGGTAGCATACGCCAGTGCTCCAGAAGCATCATCCCCAATCTCTCAAGCCCGATACCCCGGCAGAATGACTGAGGCAAACAAAGCAAAGATGGCTTTAGGTTTGATCAACCTCCCTAAATTGTACACTAACATCCGCAACAGCCTCAAAGCGGAGATGCAGAACACCGGTTGGGTCAACAAAACCGTTTCCGGAGCAGCAGCGTTCAATGCTCTATGCCTCCATGTGTTGAACATACGCCCTCTCCGTGGTTTCCTGCCTATGTGGAACGGAGGCGATTCCGCAACCCGCAGAGCACTCGCAGACGCTTTGAAGTGACTCATCGGTGATGTTGGGCAGAAGGAAAAGCTATCGAGGGGGCAGGGAAATCACGAGTATAAAGAAGTTGCTGACGATAGCGATGATGATGAGGACGGTGGTCTGCCCGCCCAACGCTCTAAGAAGCGTAAACGGGACCCAGTGTCCGCAGATCTCGATAGACCTTCCATAATGGTTACGGTGGTAGACCCGGATGCTCTAGGAGCATTCTCCAGGGTTGCCCCGCCCCCTATCTATGACTGGAACCATCGACGAAATCAGAATTCGTTCATTGGAGTTCTGATCAAGATAACGTTTCCAGGGCTCTGCAATTTGATCCTGAAGCACATCCCACCCGGCAGAGCAATCAGGAGTATCTGGGGAGCACTCGATAACGTTCCACCGGCATCCAATCCTCCTGTTCGGCCGATGGAGGTGCAGATCACTGATTCGGAAGAGGTCGAGGGTTGGTTGAAGAATAGCGTTGGCAGGCCTCGGAGGATACTGGCGGTACTCCACAGAGCGGGCGCGGGTGCTAATTTGGGTGGTGCTGAAACACCGCCGCTGACACGAGCATTCCCTCATATCGAGGAAGACGATTACACAACGATCGATATTCCAGCAGAGGACTCTGATTACGAGGAGGGAAATCACCGCATAAATGCTAAAGGACTGAGGGTATATTTGCCCAGAACTGATGCCAGTAATCAAAGGCTAATCCAGACTCTTGTTAGACGTCGCGATAGACAGCAGAATGCTATCGACGACTTAGACCCCAAATACCTGAGGAAGTATCCTCTGGGTGTAGGGGTTGCTGACGCAAACTTTGCACAGGGAGTAATCTGGACGCCTGCCGGGATAGCAGCCAAGAGAGCTGCTGACGCACTCGCGGCTGCTGCTGGAGGCGGTGGTGGTGGTGGCAATCCTCCTCCGGGCGGTGGTGGTGGTGGTGGTGGTGGTGGTGGTAATCCTCCTCCGGGCGGCGGTGGTGGTGGTGGTGGTGGTGGTAATCCTCCTCCGGGCGGACCTCCTCCTCCTCCTCCTCCTCCTCCGGGCGGACCTCCGGGCGGTGGTGGTGGTGGTTGTGGTGGTGGACCTTCTGGAGGCGGTGGTGGAGGCGGTGGTGGTGGTGGTGGTGGAGGTGGTGGGCCAGCTGGAGGCGGTGGAGGCGGTGGTGGTGGTGATGGTGGTGGGCATCATTAGTCTCCTTTGGTATAGTCTCTCACCACTCTTCCTGCGGATTTCTCACTACTAACCTTTGAAAAGCTGTACAGATTGCTCTCTGAGCACTCGCGACTGCTACTGAGATGGAGGAGGTGCGGTACGATTTTATGTTTTGGATTTCCTTTGTCTTGCGAGCATATATGAATTGATGGGTTTTTGAATAGCAGTATGGAGTGCTCTCTGAGCACTCGCAAGTGCTACTGAGATGGAGGTGCTGTACAATTTGATGTTTTGGATTTCCTTTGTCTTGCGAGCATATATCAATGGATGTGTTTTGTCGTATTAGATGAGATTAGATGAGATTAGATGAGATTAGATTAGATTAGATTATTCCCTGTCGTAATTGCATTGCTTTTATTTCAGAGTCGAGTCAAACTCCTAGATTGCTCTCAGAGCACTCGGTATTGCTTCAGAAAGTGCAAAGTGCAGTAAAACGAGTGATTACAAATGATGCGGTTGAGCGGATCCCTGCCGTAGGAGGATTAGCCGTGCAAATTCTTCTTGATTAGCGGCGCAAATTTTCTCGCCAAGAATTGATTTCTAATCAAAGATACCGCGAGTGCTCCTAGAGCACTGAGGATATTCCTGCTAGCCATCAGAATGGCTCCCACCAAGCGCTCCTCCGGTTCAGCATCTCTTGCCCCAAAGCGCCCACGACTCCCAAGACGACCTGAAGAACATGAAGATTTACTGACTGACGAGTCTGAGATACCTTGCCGACCATTGACTCCACTGCCAGCCCGCACTCGGAGTAGTCAGTCGACAACCGCCCCAATAGCGCGTAAAGGGCTTCTGTGTTCTACCGACACATCCACTGGAAGAAGCAGCCCTAGAAGGGTAGAATTCCATCTCCCCGATGGCAATACTGACAGCGTTGAAGTGCAGGAACATCAGGAGGATGTGCCAGAGGTGGAGGAAACCGCCGATACCAGCCACTCGGAGTATGATGACTCCCCAGAGAACGCCCAGGAGAGCTCTGAGGAGAACCTGGACGACCCGGAGGAGTCGGAAGAACCTCAAGCCTCCACTCAGCAGAGATCCCAGAGTACGGGGAAGAGGCCTCGTACAGTGCAGCCGACTACTGCCAGAGCACTGGGCAATGCTCGGAGGAGACCAACCGGAGCGGTAGCGGAGGTTATTGCTTCCTCCGACGTGTCGGTGGATGTGGTACAGGTTCGACTCCATCCCACCCATTAATGTTAAGGACAAAACGCTAACGATTTAGAGGGGAGCACGTCTGGGTGCAAAGGTAGTACGGAGAGCAGCTCCCACTTCGGCACCCAGCCAGAATGCATCCCAGAGAGCACCGCCAATACCCACACAGTCTAGGCCTTCTGAACCTGTTTATTATCATGATTACAGCTCTTCGACGCGCCATATCGATCTTTCCTCATTGCGCTCTCGATACGGGGAGTCCTCACCTACCTACCGCCCCTATCGTTCCTCCCCGCCTTTTGAGGGCGTTGGCGAGAGCTCTATGAGCAGTCCCCGGATTCCCTCAAGCCCTCAGGTATATTTACCAGAAGCGCAACCAAGAGTCTACGATATTGCACAGCTTTCGTCGTCTATTAGGGAAGGAAATGCTCCTATAGCAGAAAGCGAGGTTAGTAGTATTCCCGATAGCACTGACGACCGCTTTGAGAGCACTGTTAACATTCATGCGAGCAACCTATCTCAGAGATCCTTGTTACCTAGCTCGAGGAGTGCAAACATTCTCTCAATGCAGGCTCAGAGGATTGAGAAGGAGTGCAGCACGCTAATCGGGGACCACACTCTTCTACATGAGCCTTTTCCACCTGCAGCGAGGCTTACGGTACTGGTAGTGAACATGTGGGCAGCTGCCAGTCGCAGGGTGGGATGTGCGGTAGATCTGGACGAGGTCGTTATCAAACAGGTGAATGCCCTTGAAACGTTGACGAGTGCTCTGGAAGCGTAATTGACAACGATAGGTCAGAAGTCTACACTCCCGAGTCCGTTCGCACTTGATGCACGAGGTTAAAGGGCGCCTGGCGGATTCGACCATCTATGGGCTTGGAAAGCTCTCGAGTCCTGAGGCGAGGGCTGCTCAAGTAGAGTATCTTTTAAAGAATGATCGCTTCTTGAGCCCTGCGCAGCATTACGAGGTATGATCAATCCCTAGAGAGCACCCGGGGGTGCTAAGAGAGCACTCGGGTGTCAATGACCAGAGAGCACTCGGGTGTCAATGCTCGGAGAGCACCCGGACACCCGGAATGCTTGGAGAGCACTCGCGAACGCTGCTAACAGATACTAGACCTACCGTCTACGGTTTCTTGCGCCAGAGATTATCGACATATTGTACTATAAATACTTTGATGGGGTCAGGATACGAGGGGTAAAAGACCCCGAGTTCCTAGAGCGGATTACCCCTACATTTATTTGCCTGATATCCACTGCAATTTGGCATGGCATTCGGGCATGGTCAACGGGAACATACGTGAAGCCTGACCATTTCCAGTCACAGAATGAGAGTGTTGTCAGTAAGCATCCCTGATCCCCTTACAGCTATAGCGAGTGCTTTGAGAGCAGTAACAGATGCTCCCAGAGCTATAGTGGATTCGCGCGCTGACATTGCACACGAGTAGAAACGTTCAACAGGATGAGCAACACATGGAAGGGGAGGAGTAGGCAGAATCAGGAGGCAACGTTGGAGGTGATCAAGGATAACCTCCGGGAGAAGGTATGCTATAGATGGGTGCTACAATGGCGGAGCGTTCTTCTGCATACGGAGGCTAACCTTGATAGATACGAGAGAAGAAGGGTATCACTATTGAGGTGATACCGGAAGATGGATTTAGCGAGGACGACGAAGCGTTAGCGGCGGATCTTGCGGCATTCCGGAATGCTCGGAGAGCACCTCCGAGTGCTCCAGGGGATATCTCCGACAACGGTGGCGGCCAGGAAGAGGTGGTTCAGGCTCAACTTCGGGGCATTGAAGCGGAAGAGGAAGGCGAGGAGGATGAAGATGAGGATCGCGAGGGAGGGGAGGAGGAAAAGGATCTGTAGGGCACCGGCGAGTGCTTTGGAGCGCAATGGCGAGTGCTTTGGAGAGCAGCGGCGAGTGCTTTGGAGAGATACCTATATACCTGTATTATATTCGATTGGCGATTTCAAGACGCTTGTAGTGTTAGTATTTAGTAATAGAATCACGGTTTTGGATGCTCTGCAAAGCAGTGCCTACTAAAGCAAAGAGTAGTATGCCTGGTAAAAACATGGCACTGAAAGGTAAAATGCGGTGCGTCGGGCGCCGCTGGAGCAGTCGGGAGTGCTCCAGAAGTATTAGTGATATGCCCAGGAGTCGTCAGAGAGGTTCAGGAGCGGACAAAACGCTTCCTGAGGCGTCGCGAGAGCTCCAGGAGCGTCCAGGAGATAGGTAGTAGTCTCAGGCGAGAGAACATTCCGTCGAGAGAGCGTCAGGCGAGAGAGCATTGCGTCGGGGTAAGCGTATCACTGTCGGGGCGCGTTGGGAGGGCTAGTGCACGCCAGGGCGGAATGCTAAGTGCCAGGGAGCGCCAGGAACGCTCTGCTGCTTGTCTGGAGAGGCAGTTTGTCTACCGAGCGCCCTGGGCGCCTCGAGCGTCCAGAGCGTCTGGCGGAGGTTGCGGGTTTGCTGATGATGAACGATTGTAACAAATGAGAATTTGAATTTCTGATACACTCGCTGTCCTGATACATACCCATCAAAGGATTGTAAATAATACAAAAGGTTTTGTTTGTCAACAACTGTTAAATTTGCTGTTCTGATAAGAACGTATAAGTATGAACCAATTATTAATGATATCAACCAATTTCACTGCTAATTACTGATTCGAATATTTTTCTGACAGGTATCGACTCCTATTTAGTGTTGAAACATCATACAGAAAGCTTTTCTTATCGGTATACACTTTACTTGCCATTGTGATTTATATGCATACGTATCAAGCGATTGCCAAAAATCCTCACAAATCTTATCTCCTATTCCTGATTTACATTCTGTCACAACAAGTGTGCATACAAATCGAATCATAGCAAACCATACCAACAAATCTCAATTGCAAACTCTGATGCACTTTCTGTTTCGATTGATATTTTTACCTCTCAAGCTATCACAAACAGTAGTAACCAATTTCACCATTAGTGTTTGCTTTACATGCTGTCCTAGTAGACATGCATATCTATCCAGCGATTCAATATTGCTCAGTAGTGTCTAGAACAATAATACGATACAACCCGAAGACTGGTAATTGCAACCTTCATGGTTACGTATCGGAATTCGAATGTAGGACAGAATACTGAAGTGACACTTTTCTATCTATTTTTCTTCAGGTCGTTGTTATTCTATTGGTACAAAATTCAATTTTTGGTCAGAATGTAACAGATCAATGTGTATTTGGTGGTGGTTGAAACCTGGATGTGGGTAGTTAGGGTTATGAGCTTTCAAATCTGGTCTGGTTACGTGTACATTATACAATCTTCGGTCAAAATGAAATACATCAATGTGTATCTGGGGTGGTTGGAACCTGGATGTAGGTAGTTAGGGTTACGAGCGTTGAAAGTTGGTCTGGTCACGTGTACAAAATACAATCTTCAGTAAAAATGAAATAGATCAATGTGTATCTGGGGTGGTTGAAACCTGGTTGTGGGTAGTTAGGGTTACGAGCGTTCAAAGTTGGTTTGGTTACGTGTACAAAATATAATTTTCGGTCAAAATGAAATACTTGAATGTGTATTTCGTGGTGGTTGGAACCTGGATGTGGATAGTTAGGGTTATGAGCGTTCAAATCTGAATTGGTTACTGTAAAGAACCATGGGCGAGGCAGAAGCTAAGGGGTCGAGGGACATGGTTAGGTTCCCGGAGGGGAAGGACAGGCCTCGCACGAGGGCGAGGGGTGGTGCAGTGGTATACACGAAAGCAGGGACAGCGGTCTGGGCAAGGACAGAGGGGAGGACAGCGACGAGGGTCTGTACGAGGACCGAGGTGAAGGTCAGTACGAGGACGGATAGAACGACGGTCGGCATGTTAACCGAGAAGGACACGGCGATGAATAGGGAGGCGGTGAAGATTATAACAGCAGATGCACAGGGCATGAGGGACAGCAGACGTAACGTGGAATGAAAGTAAAGTAATGTATTGAAACGAAGTAAATCCCCCAAAGGAATAACCCAAAGTATAATACAAGATGTTGCGTAAGGAAAGAAAAGGAAAGGAAAAGAAAAGACAACGAAAAACATAAACAACCCTTTATACTAATAAAATAACAACCGATTACTAATACCACGGAACCTTCCAGACTTTCCGATGACTCATGCCTTCTGATATAACAGTATAGTTCACAACAGTTACGTGTACAAAATACAATTTTCGGTAAAAATGAAATACTTGAATGTGTATTTGGTGGTGGTTGGAACCTGGATGTGGGTAGTTAGAGTTACGAGCGTTGAAAATTAGTAAAGCGGTGACCTGGAGTAAAGAATCCGAGAGCGTAAGAAGACAGCGGAGACAAATAGTGGGATTCGCCCAATGCGGTAATCCGGAGTTCGGAATCCGAAATTTATGTATTCCATCGAAGCAGAGGATGGGGAAACGCGGCATCATTGAATTCCATGCGCCGTCATGATTGTGGGCTGGAGACGGTGCGTTCGGTGCCATGCAGTCATCGATCGTTGTACCCGCCCGGTGAGTGGCGGTGCCGGGAGTGAACCAGGACGGGTTGCCAAGACTTACAGTGAGTTACCATACTCAACAACCCCCAACCATCACCTCCGCCCCCGCAATCACGACCACGACCCCCTATACGCGCATACCTGATGATGGGAATGGACTCGGGTCGTCCTGTTCGACCCATAGACACGGAGCCCGGAATTGTGGGGCGACGGTTCCCGGGCAACCTCAAAATCCTGTCCGACATTCCACTACTAGAAACCTAACTAACCCTAACTAACCCTAACTAACCCTAACTAACGTTACACCGAATCAGCAATAAGATGCGGCGGGACTTTGGCGCGCAACCTAACCGTAGGTAACCCTAGGGTCACGCGCTCTCACTCAATGTCTGGCGGTCCCTATTATATATACCGCCCTCGCTACTGGCACTGAAGAGCTCATCATCATAGCGAAACCTGAAGCGATAGCCTGCCTACCTTCTTGTCTGCCTCCTTGACGATTCTCTTCTCAATAGTTTACATTCCATTCCACCCTAACTAACCCTTACGACTATCACCATGTCCGCCCCTGGCCCCTCCACCGTTCCCATCGACTATCCGATTTTCGGATCTGTTAAGGACAGAGCTAGACGACCTGTCAGCTCAGAAGCCTTACACGGATTTGGTCACTTAACCCTAGATGGTCCCTCCCACCTCATGGGTTCCATCCCTACCCCCTCCAATGAACTACATTGCCGAGAAATGATCGCAGACGCCTATCTAGCTACGACCTGTGGAGAGGAAAGCGCCTACGAACACTATCAACATGCGTTAGCCGCTTACATGTCCTCTCGACCCCCTATTGAACGAATGGAGGACATCAAAAGACTTCTTCACCCTATCTTCCGACTCCGATTGTTATTCCTGTACTATTACTGACGGTTTGTAGAACTATTTACTGAAAATAATATCAGTATACAGTCGGCAACTCTCAATACAGAACAGGCAAAATTCAACAATTTGTTCAACAGATCCCCTCAAGCACAAATGAGAGGTGCGGCATCTCTTCCTGCCTTGAAAGACTGAACTGGAGGCGGCGATTCCAACAGGAATAAAAGACGGAAAAGGGCAGCTGAGAAACAGCTTTGGGAGGAAAATGCATTATGTGTTCCTGTGAACCGTATGTTTGAAAGACAAGGGGAAGCAAATTCGGAATCTGCTACCCCGTTATTACTATTGGGGGAAGAACAGAGAGTCGTACTCACTCATGAACAAGAAAAATATCCAAATCTTATGGAAGGAATTGAGGTTTCAACTAGACGGTTGCGGCTTCAATCTGTTCGTCGAGTGGAGAATCTGGAGGGGCAGTGGAGGAAAAGACATGAAATGGTTTTGAACTTCATACATGACCGTGTGAAATTCCCACAGAATGCGAATGGACAAGCAGCAATACGGGTGGCAGGTACATCTTTATGGGGATCATATGTGGCAAGACGTTTAATTGAATGGGAGGATAGTTGGATCAAGAATCGTACAATCCCACGTGGGGAATGTGGGATTTATAGAAGAATGAGTACATGGTATGAAGACGAGTCTTTACTGTTATTCATTCGTGAATTTATTGTAAAATCAAGTGATAAACTCACATCCCGTACACTATCTGATGCTGTTGGAGATTATCTTTACTCAAATCAGCATTGTGCTCGTGTTCAGGAATATCTCCTGCTTCTGGGTAGAGATGATGGAGAAGAAGACGGAAACAAGAGCCAGGTGTACAAAAGATCAACTATTCGGGCACGGACAGCAAGAAGGTGGTTATTGAAGCTTGGCCTGAATTATAATGATGTCTGTAAAAGAGTTTACATTGACGGGCATGACCGAGATGATGTTCTGAAATACCGCATTTCTTTTATTGAGAAACTGGATGAATTGCAACCACAAATAATTGAATTCAATGAAAACGGTACCGCAACTGACAAAGCAGCCCCTGCTGAAGGATTGAAAAGAATAATTCTTTGCACGCATAATGAATCCCCCTTTAGTGCCAATGATTCCCGTCGTAAAGCATGGACGATGTAACGGAGCCATTTCAACTGTTTGGTGTATGAGTGCACACAGGGCCCGGTTACATGCTGAGAGTTATTGTTAGAAGCCAGTTGCACAGTGATATGCAAGTACCGGCAGTGTGATTAGCTATCAGCTGTTAGAGTAACTACATTCCGGGCGCTAGGAAGGGGATCTATTCATGGGAGCAATGACTGACGAGTCTATGCCTCGCCAGTGACTACAAGCCCGGCCAGAGTGAAGCTCTGATTGCCCGGTGATCCTCTGTATCCTCTGGGCATTGTATGTCGGCCGAAGGGGCAGGGACTATGCTAGGGAAGTCTACAATAAGCGAAAAGCTCTACAGCAATGATTAAGCTTACATCTGAGCGGTAGCTCATTCATGCAGGCCCCGGTTGTGTGGCAACCAGGGCTGCAGGTGTTATAAAGGCTTTGACTAAGGGTGGTTGCCATAGGTGTCGGAAACACCTGCTGATGCTTAGAGAAAAGCGGGGTAGCGGTGGTATTGTTTCCGGCATCGAGGAGAGGCTTCACCGGAACTTAGTAAGGAGTTAGGAGCAGAGAATAGAGCCCTTCGGAGTATAAGTACTCAGGTTTATTCTCGCCCTTCAGTCCTGTTCTCGCCGATCTTCATCAGAAAGAAAAACCAGGTTCTTATCGGTAGCAGAGCCCTTAAAGATTCTTGAGTTCTAACGATAGTATCCTTGAATAATCTGCAACCTGATTGTCTATCTTGCACGGCCGTCTCTATTCTATCTTATTCTATTTTCTCTTAGAAGAGACCCCCGTTACAGATAATCTTTAAGGCTCAAGTCACCTCAGATTATTTTTCCTCTATACACAAATGTCCGCTCTCCCAGCTCCGGATGCGGCCCTTCAGATTGAATGGCAGCCGGTGCCCCTCCAGCTTGATGCCACCGGGCAGACACAGCTTGTCAAGAAGCTCGGGACCGCTCTACAGACCTACATTCCCAGTTGTGAGCCTGCCTGGCAAGATACCGACGAGGTTTCCCTTCAGCAGTTCTTCACAGAGCTCCAGACCTACCTCCAACACAGCCTGCAGAATCAGTTGACCCGGGGCAGTCAGGCACTCCTCCTTGTACAAGTGCGCCAGGCAGCCCAGAATGCTCTTATGGTAGAAGCTCTCGAGTACATGAAGATGGAGGTCAACTCTGTTCAGGAAGAACTCCGGAGGTATGCGGAAAGAGATGAACTGGCTGCTGATGCCATGGAGATTGAGTGAACAAATCCGACCACTCCACCGGACTTTGTTGCCGAAATACAGCGAGCCCTTGATGAAGGAAGGCTGGTGGTTGATAGACCAGGTACTCCGGCACCAAATCCACACTCCAGGTCCTCTTCCAGGGCAGCCACCAGCACAATGGAGCAAAAGACCAGTCCCTTCGCAGCATTCCCGGTCTGATCCACAAGGAGAGTTATCCCTATTATTCAGCCAGTAGTGGGGGCATCTCCCTTACCTCCCAGCCACTTCAGTGGAGTACACTCACTCCTTGGAGGACCCGACCGATCCTTTGACTATCTCAAGGGGGCGAGTAGCGAGTATTCCGCAGGGTACGAAGAGGATAGTAGAGGTCGGTGTGGTAACTCGCAATAGGGGTCCTGAGGGACTTCAGCGTCGGTAAGGGTCAATAAGACAAGGGGCAGCGAAGCGGTGGTCTTCTCGAGTAAAGAAGAGGAAGACAATATTGTATAGTAATAGACAGTGTAGGTACAGAAGACGTTGCGTAGTAAAAGAAAGAAAAGGAAAGAGAACAAGAAACGAGAGTGAGACCTCCTAATATACCCAAGGAAATCCCAGCGATGACAAATCCAAAGTGACTCATATACTTACAACCCACAGAACCCGATAGAACCCAATAGAACCTTTCTGACTAATCCAACTCCTTGTAACCCAGTGTATTAACTAGTCGATTCATGAAAGTAGCCCCTCCCTTCAAGCGCGAGCTCCTGCGAGCCTTAACCTTAACTTTTCTTTCCAACGGTCCGGGTTTGTCGGAGTAACGTGTATGGAAAGTATCAACGGCGGCGGTATTATCGTGATATGCGGCGGGTTCCCAGATGGGGTCGGGATAGCCTGTCCATTTAACAAAATATTGCAGACCGTTATTTTTTGTTTCTCGTGAGTCCAGGATTTCTTCAACCGCGTACTCCTCCTCCTGTTCAACGATAATAGGTGGGGGTGGTGGTGGAATTTGACCGGGGACAGGATCATTTGCAGCAGGGTCTAGCAACGATACATGGAAGACGGGGTGCATCTTCATGCTCCTAGGCAGGTCGATTTGGTACGCATATGGCGATATGATTTCTTTGACGGGGCATGGTCCCAGTTTCTTCCAGTCCAACTTCCGAGAGTTACGGGTGTTTCGGATGTTTTTTGCTGAAACAAACACAATATCACCGATATCGTACCGCGGAGCCGGCGTTCGTTTGGTATTAGCGGCCTGCTCTTGTTGGTCTTGCACCGTTCGGATATTGGAACGCAGGTGTTCGTGGAGTTCTTTCATCTTCGAGGCGAAGTCTTTAGCATTGAGGCTTGGTGGGGTCTTGTCAAGCGAATTGATTGTCACTGTAAACCGAGGGTGGAAACCATAGTTTGTGAAGAATGGTGTAGCTTTGGCGGATGCGGAGACTTGATTATTGGCGGAGAATTCTGCTATAGGGAGCCATTTTACCCAATCGTCCTGTTGATAAGAGACATACCCACGTATATATTGTTCCATTACGGCGTTCAGCCTTTCAGTTTGGCCGTCGGTTTCCGGGTGGAAGGCGATGGACATTCTGGCTTCGATGTCGAGGTGTTTACAGAGAGCCTTCCAGAACCTGGCTGTAAATTGCGTACCGCGGTCGGAGGTAACATGTGTGGGTAGTCCATGGAGCTTCCATATATTCCGCAGATATAGTTGGGCGAGGTCTTCGGAGTTGACGGTGGTATTACATGGCAGGAGATGTCGCATCTTTGTTAACCGGTCAACAACTACCATAATCGCATCGAACCCTTCGCTCTCTGGTAGGCCAGTGAAGAAGTCCATTGATACCTCCTGCCATGGATGTTCGGGAATCGGTAAAGGTCGAAGTATGCCGAGTTTTCCATGGGTGTTGGGTTTGCTTCGTTGACAGATGTGGCAGTTCCGAATGTAGCGGGCAATATAATTCCGCATAAGGGGCCAGTAGTAGTCTCGACTGATGAGTTCGAATGTTTTTTCGCGTCCAGGGTATCCGGCAGAGGCAGCGTCATGATAAAGTTGGAGGATTCGGAGCTTGAGAGGGTCGTAGTCGGGTACATATATGCTGCCTCGGTAAAGCAACTGGCCTTCAACTTCGGTGCATTCGGCGAGTAATATGTCCTTTGATTGTCGTTCACCTTTGTTCCGCATATCCAGTATCTTTTGTGGAAACGGGTCAGCGCTATATCCTTCATCGAATAGTCTATTCAGTGAGGCGTTCTTTTCAGCGGGCTCATTTGAGAAAGAACCCGCCAACAAACTTAGCTTTGCGTCAAGATTCTCCTTCTTCAATACAACTTGACTCTGGTGTAATTGTCTTTCATCCCCCTCTCCAGGGAGATCTCCTGATCTTCTTGTCAACTCATCCAGTTTCCCTCCTTGTTTCCCTGGTCGGTACTTAATGACAAAGTTAAACCATGATAAATATTCCGCCCACCGGGCTTGTCTCCGGTTGAGTTGTTTAGTACTCATAAAGTATTCGAGATTCTTATGATCGGATATGACGGCGATTGGGTGTGCAGCCCCTTCAAGTTCCGGTCGCCATTCCTCAAAGGATCGAATAATCGCAGTAATTCCTTGTCGTAAATCTCGTAGTTGCATTCGGCGGGGGAGTGCTTCTTTGAGAAGTATGCAACGGGTCGAAGGGTACCATTATCATCGTATTGAGAGAGTACACCTCCAGAGACATAGTCAGATGCATCGGTTTCCACGGTAATTTCTTTCTCCGGGTCGAAATGGGTAAGGATGGGAGCGGTTGTAAAGGCTTTTTTCAAGGCGTTGAAGGCAGTTTGGGCTTCGGGTGTCCATTCGAACGATATGTCCTTGCGTGTCAGTCTGGTAAGGGGGGAAGCCAGTTCCGAGAACCCACGTATGAATCGGCGGTAAAAATTAGCGAAACCTAGAAATGCTTGCACATCCTTAACTGTTTTGGGGACGGTCCAATTCTTCACTGTCTCCACTTTTCTTGAATCCATTTTAATGCCGTTGGGTTCGATGATGAGGCCGAGGTAGGTGGTGCTTTGTGTATGAAATTCGCATTTCTCTGGTTTCAGCAGTACTCCATTTCTTTGTAGGGCTTCCAGGACCTTTTCGACGTGTACTTGATGTTTCTTGAAGGTGTTGCTGTAGATGAGAATATCGTCAAGGTAGGCTGTACAGAACATATCAAGATAGTCACGGACGCAATCATTAATGAAGTGTTGAAAGGTGGCCGGCGCATTGGTAAGGCCGAAGGGCATCACCGTATATTCAAAATGTCCGTAACGTGTACGGAAGGCTGTTTTCCATTCTTCACCCTCAGCCATTCGGATCTGATTATACCCTTGGCGAAGGTCAAGCTTGGTGTACCACTTGGCTTTGGAGAGGCGGTCGAGAGTTTCCCGGATGAGCGGCAGCGGATAGCGGTTTTTTATAGTGAGTTCGTTGAGGCCACGATAATCCACACAGAGACGGAGTGTTCCATCGGCTTTTTTAACAAATAGGACAGGGGCACCGGCAGGCGAAGAGCTGGCCTGAATGAAGCCTTTTTGGAGGTTGTCCTGTATGTATTGCTTAAGCACGATGAGCTCCTCACGGGACATACCATAAAGTGGCCCAAACGGGGGCTCCTTTCCTTCCTTAAGCGGTATCTTATGGTCATAGGGGCGGCGAGTCGGCATCCCATTAGCAAACTTCTTGTCCATCATCTCATGAAACCTCTTGTACCGGGTTGGGACTCAGTTCCTCCAGTCTTCCTTATGGGGCTTGCCCATGGCTTGGTCTATTTCCTCGATAGTTGTACTGAAGATTTGGAGCTTGTCCCTTCGAGCGAAGCGGCAGAGAGCAGCTGAACTGACGAGGTGGAAACGGGGTGGTGGTGTAATCCCTCTGATGGGAACGGGTGTTACGGAGGAGTTGCACTTGCGCTTGCAGTATTCGGAGTCGAACAGTATGCTATTGTCCTTAAACCGTAATGTAGCGTCGTGTAATTGAAGCCAAGGGATTCCGAGTACGAGTGGATCTGAGCCGAGTTTGGTGACGAAGAAGGGGATAGTTTCATGGTGGGAGTCAATTGATAGCGGTAGGTAGCAGAGGTGGGTAATCTGTCCGGAGGATATGGGCCGTCCGTCGATGACTTCAAGAGTGCGGGGTGATTTAAGGGAGAGAAATGGGAGGTTGTTATGGCGCGCGAATGTTTCATCAATGAATGCGAATCCGGAGCAACCGGTATCAATCAATACGTGGGTTTGGATGGATATTTTATTGTTTACAATTTCACACGAAGCAACAAAATGATCCCCATCCAATTTATCCTCCACAGACGATACCGAGAAGCCAGAGATAGAGGACGCAGACAAAGGAGAAACATTAGAAGGTCCCGGGCAGGGGCCATTGATCAAGCCCGGGACTACTGAAAACCCGACTCGGAAGAGGCGGGACTAGCGATCGGTGGGGCAGCGGGGTGTGCGGCATTATGAGCGGGTACGAGGAGAGCGCCCCTCATAACCGGTTGATTACCACGTGGGCGATTGGCAGAGGGGCAGTTGGCGAAGACATGGCTGGGGTTGGCGCAGTACATACAGAGATTGTTGTCCCTTCGCCATTTTTTTTCGGCCGCAGAGGTTTTACGTTGTCCATTGACAAAGGTGTATCTTTGTTCGGTGGCAGGGCGTTGAGCGGAAAGGGCCTAGAGGGCAGAGAGGTCCATTGGGGTGAGGCCTCCGGCGGTATGAGATGGGTGTGCGACAGCGGCGGGGGCGGTAAATTGTCCCATCGTATTATGGATGGCCCGTTGTTCAGCTTTGCGGCCCTGAACCTGGTTATCAATTGTCATCAACATGGTGGCATAGGCCTCGACGGTGTTAGGCCTATCTGTCCAGTATGTCATGGCGTCCTTCAGGTCTTCCGACAGTCCTTCGGCCAGGGCATCGATCTTAGCTCCTTCGTTGTAGTCCAGGTATGCCACAATACAGAGGAACTGCGAGTAATAGGTGGCGAAGTCCCCTTTGCCCTGCTTCAGGGCAACGAGCTGGCGACGGGCGGTACCCCGGGGATCTGGGTCTCCAAACGAAGCTTCCAGGTGGGCAACGAAGGCAGTGACGGAGGAGAAGGGGGCGGCAGGGTTAGCGTTAACGAGTGGAACGACCTGGTCAAGGGCCCTTCCTTCCAAGCGACTGACGGCATAAATAATCTTTGCTGCCTCGTTTCGGAACCGATCGTGGTTGACTTCAAGTTTCATTCGAAGTTGGGTGGTGAATCCGGGGAGCTTGGTGCGGGTGCCATCGAATTTTTCAGGGTCTGGAAACTTTTCGGACCTGAAGGCGGGGACAGGAGCAGGTGGGGGAGCAGCGGCAATGGGGACAGCGACGGTAGGGGCGGGGGCAGCACGGGCGACATTGAGGTCGAGGTTGAGCCGGGCTATCTGTTCCTCGAGGTTGTCAATGGTTTCATTGGCGGCGGTGAGTTGTGTATGAAGGGTGTCCCTTTGGAAGCGGACGCGCTGGACGAGGGTGGCGATGTTGTTGAATAATTCAGTAGAGTCGGCCTCATACATCTGCCTGAATCCTTCTACGTCGTTGGGTGGAGCCCATACAGGTGGGTCGGGGGTGGACATATCGTACGGTGCTGATGACGATGCAACGTAATCTCAAGGGGGTGAGTAGCGAGTATTCCGCAGGGTACGAAGAGTGTAATAGGGGGCGGTATGGGGACTCGCAATAGGGGTACTACGGGACTCTAGCGTTGGTGAGGCTCGACGAGGCACAGAGGAAGCGAGGCGGTGGTCTTCTTAAAGAAAGAAGAGGACGATAATATTATATAGCAATAAACAGCGTATATACAGAAGACGTTGCGTAAAGAAAGAAGAAGAAGAAAAAGATCGAAAAGTACAAACAACCCCCCTTAATATACTCAAGGAAATCCCAGCGATAACAAATCCAACATGACTCATACATTAACAATCAACAGAACCCGACAGAACCCAATAGAACCTTTCTGACTAATCAAACTCTTCGTAACCCCGTACCTCCACTATTCGATCCATGAAATGAATCCGGGGAGCTTGGTATGGGTGCCGTCGAATTTTTCAGGGTCTGGGAACTTTTCGGACCTGAAGGCGGGGACAGTAGTAGGTGGGGGAGCAGCGGCGATGGGGACGGAGACGGTGGGAGCGGGGGCGGCGCGAGCGACATTGAGGTCGAGGTTGAGCCGGGTGACCTGCTCCTCAAGGTTGTCAATGGTTTCATTGGTGGCGGCGAGTTGTGTACGGGAGGTATCCCGCTCGAGGCGGATGCGTTGGACAAGGACGGCGATATTGTTAAATAAGTCGGCAGCGTCGACCTCATACTGCCGCTTGAATTCTTCTACATCATTGGGTGCGGCCCATGTAGGTGAGTCGGGGGTGGACATGTCGTACGGTGCGGGTGACGATGCAAGGTAATCTCAAGGGGGCGAGTAGCGAGTATTCCGCAGGGTACGAAGAGGATAGTAGAGTTCGGTGTGGTAACTCGCAATAGGGGTCCTGAGGGACTTCAGCGTCGGCAAGGGCCAATAAGACAGAGGGCAGCGAAGCGGTGGTCTTCTCGAGTAAAGAAGAGGAAGATAATATTGTATAGTAATAGACAGCGTAGATACAGAAGACGTTGCGTAGTATAAGAAAGAAAAGAAGAAGAACAAGAAACGAAAGCAAAACCTCCGTAATATACCCAAGGAAATCCTAGCGATGACAAACCCAAAGTGACTCACACGCTTACAACCCACAGAATCCGATAGAACCAAATAGAACCTTTCTGACTAATCCAACTCCTCGTATCCCAGTATATTCACTAGTCGATCCATGAAAGAAGTCTACAATAAGCGAAAGCTCTACAGCAATAATTAAGCTTACACCTGAGCGGCAGCTCATTCGTGCAGACCCTCGGTTGAGTGGCAACCAAGGCTGCAGGTATTACGAAGGCTTTGACTAAGGGTGGTTGCCTTGGGTATTGGAAACACCTGCTGACGCTTAGAGAAAAGCGGGGTAGCGGTGGTATTGTTTCCGGCACCGAGGAAAGGCTTCACCGGAACTTAGTAAGGAGTTAGGAGCAGAGAATAGAGGTCTTCGGAGTATAAGTACTCAGGTTCATTCTCGCCCTTCAATCCTGTTCTCGCCAGTCTTCATCAGAAAGAAAAAATCAAGTTCTTATCGGTAGCAGAGCCCTTAAAGATTATTGAGTTCTAGCGATAGTATCTTTGAATAATCTGCAACCTGATTGTCTATCTTGCATGGCCGTCTGTATTCTATCTTATTCTATTTTCTCTTAGAAGAGACTCCCGTTACATTCTTGCCCCATTAACCACGGGCATAACCTGGCCGAGGGCACCTCCGGACAAAAGGTTGATCGCGTATACCAGTTGCTGTTGGGTAGAGGTAAAGCGGTCAGCATTACCGATCATCTTGAGGCGGAGCTGAGTAATAAAGGGACGGAGAGCTGAACGGATTCCATCGAATTTCGAGGGGTCCGGGATTTTATCAGATCTTTGGCCAGGGGTAGATGCAGGTGCGACTGGTACAGGGACTTGATCTGGGGCTTGAACGGGCACTTGAACAGGAGCTTGAACAGGGACAATAGGATTGGGACCAGTGGCCATCTGGTTACGAAGGAGGTTATTCAATTCCCTTACCTCCCCGAGTTGCGTAGATAGGTCCTGGACCTGATGTTCAAGTTCAGGGATAGCCGAGGCAGTACATCAGCAAACCTGCAGCCTTCGCCAGACGCCCGAGGCGCTCAGGGCGCTCAGGGCGCTCGGTAGGTAAACTACCTCTCCAGAGATACGGCAAGTGCTCCTAGCGCAGTCTAGCGCGCATCTTTCCGCCCCGGCGCACCCTAGTTCGCCCCGGCGTGCACTAGCCCTCCGACCCCGCCTGGACACTGAGCGCGAGCGCCCGGCGCTACCCCGACGCTAGTCCCCTCACCTGAGAGCGCCAGTTGGGCGCTCATATCTCCTGACTGCTCCTGGAGCACTCCTGACTGCTCCTGGAGTACTCCCGCAGCTCCTAGAGTACTCCGACTGCTCCTGGAGCCTTCCTGACTGCTCCTGGAGCACTCCCGCAGATCCTGGAGTACTCCGACTGCTCCAGCGGCACCTGGGATCGGGTCTTTGAACCTGGCGCACCCCCGATGCCCTTTTCTCTCCAGGCATACCCTTACGATCTCTACTGTTTACAGAGCACTCGAGACTGTTTACAGAGCACTCAAGACGGTGATCCCCTGTCTATTACTAAATACTAACGACAATACCTCCTTGAACTCCCTTACTGGATATAATACAAAATATGAATCGGAACAAATCTCCAGCTATCCCCGACGCACTCGGGAGTGTTCTCCCCAGGCATTTGCGAGTATTCTCCCAAAGCACTCGCGAGTATTCTCCCAAAGCACTCGCGAGTGTTCTCTCAAAGCACTCGCGAGTGTTCTCCCAAAGCACTTTCGAGTGTTCTCCCAAAGCACTTTCGAGTATTCTCCCAAAGCACTCGCGAGTGTTCTAGACATCTTCCTCCCCGCCCCCTTCGCAATCCCCCGCTACTGGTAGTTGTTGCTCCTCTTCTTCCTCCTCTCCCTCCTCTTCACTGTCAATGTCGCGAAGTTGGGCATGAATCACCTCGTCCTGGCCATTGTCAGAACTTGAAGGACCTCCTGGAGCACCCCTGAGTGCTCTCCGAGCATCTCGGAATGCGGCAAGATCCGCAGCCAAAGCTTCATCGTCCTCGCTAAACCCATCCTCCGGTATCACCTCAATCGTTACACCCTTCTTTTCTCGTATCTATTAAGGTAAGTATTTAGAATAGAACACCTATTGCCTACATACTAGCATACCTTTTCTCGAAGGTTATCCTTGATTAACTCCAAAGTTGCCTCCTGATTCTGTCTACTCCTCCCCTTCCATGTGTTACTCATCCTGTTGAACGTTTCTACTCGAGTGGGGATGTCAGCTCGGCAATTCAGTATAGCTCTGAAAGCATCCGTCATTGCTCCCAAAGCACCCGTCATACCAGTGAGGGCATTGGGCAATACTTACTAACAACGCTCTCATTCTGCGACTGAAAATGATCAGGCTTAACGTAAGTCCCTGTCGATCACGCCCGAATGCCGTGTCAGATCGCCGTCGATATCAAGCAAATGAGTGTAGGGGTTATCAGCTCTAGGAATTCGGGGTCCCTAACCCCTCGCATCCTGACGCCATCAAAGTATTTAAAATACAATATATCGACGATTTCCGGGGCAAGGAAGCGCAGTCGGTAGGTCTAGTATCTGTTAGCGGCTTTCCCGAGTGCTCTCTGAGCATTTCCGGGTGCTCTGTGGGCATTCCGGGTGCTCTCTGGGCATTGATCATACCTGGTAATGCTGCTGGGGGCTCAAGAAACGATCATTCTTCAAAAGATATTCGACTTGAGCCGCCCTTGCCTCAGGCCCCACAAGATTTCCAAGCCCGTATATCGTAGAGTCTGCCAGGCGCCCTTTCACCTCGTGCATCAAGTGGGAACGGACACGGGAGTGCAGACTTCTGACCTATCGTTCTCAATTATGCTTCCAGAGCACTCGTAATCGTTTCAGGGGCACTCACCTGTTTAATTACGACCTCATCAAGGTCTACTCTACACCCCACTCCGCGACTTGCAGTTGCCCACATGCTCACTACCAGTATCGAAAGTCTTGCTGCAGGTGGAAACGGCTCATGTAGAAGCGTATGCTCCCCGATTAATATGCGGTACTCTTTCTCAATCCTCTGTGCTTGCATTGAGAGTACATTTGCACTCCTCGAGTTGGATAACAAAGACCTCTGAGTCAATTGGCTCGAAAGAATGTCGCCAGTGTTCTCAAAGACGTCGTGAGTGCTCTCTGGAATACGAACCTCGCTTTCCGCCGTCAGAGCATTCTCGTTCTCCCTGGATGAGGGAAGATAGTCGATTTCGTAGACTCCTTGCGATCGAATTTGGCTGTGAGGTTGGGCTGAAGGAATTTGAGGGCTTGAAGGAATCCGAGGACTGCTCACAGAGCTCTCGCCAATTCCGTCAATAGGAGGTGAAGAAAGATATGGCCGGTAAGTAGGTGAGGACTCCCCTTATCGAGAGCGCATTGAGGAAAGATCGATATGGCACTTCGAAGAGCTGTAATCATGATAATAAACAGGTTCAGAAGGCCTAGACTGTGTGGGTATTGGCGGTGCTCTCTGGGATGCCGGGAGTGCTCTCTGAGATGCATTCTGGCTGGGTGCCGAAGTGGGTGCTCTCTGGGATGCCGGCAGTGCTCTCTGAGATGCATTCTCGCTGGGTTCCGAAATGGGTGCTGCTCTACCCTGACCTTGTTTCCGGATTACATTTGTGCCCAGTCGAGCTCCCCTCTGAAGCGTTACCCTCCGAGTCTATTGAATAAAACAAATGAAATGAGCAGAATAGAGTCAAACCTGTATCACGTCCACTGACACGTCGGAGGAAGCAATTACCTCCGCTACTGCGCCAGTTGCTTTCCTCCGAGCATTGCCCAGTGCTTTGGCAGTAGTCGGCGGAGCTGTGCGAGGTCTCTTTCTGACAGTCTGAGACCTCTGGGTGGAGGCTTGAGGTTCATCCTCCGGTTCATCCTCATTCTCCTCAGAACTCTCGGGCTCGTTCTCTGGAGAATCATCATACTCTGAGTGGCTGGTATCAACTATTTCCTCCACCTCTGGCGCCTCTATTGCTTGAGCCTGCTCCTGCGCTTCAACAAAGTCAGTATGGTCGCCGGGGAGATGAAATTCAACCCTGCTAGGACTGCTTCTTCCAGTGGGAGTTTCGGAAGAATGGAGAAGGCCTTTATGAGCTATTTGGGTGGCAGTGGTCGATTGACTACTCCGAGTGCGGGCTGGCAGTGGAGTCAATGGTCGGCGAGGTATCTCAGACTCGTCAGTCAGTAAATCTTCATGTTCTTCAGGTCGTCTTGGGAGTCGTGGGCGCTTTGGGGCAAGAGGTGCTGAACCGGAGGAGCGCTTGGTGAGAGCTATTCTGATGGCTAGCAGGAATATCCTCAGTACTCTAGGAGCACTCGCGGTATCTTTGATTAGAAATCAATTCTTAGCGAGAAAATTTGCGCCGCTAATCAAGAAGAATTTGCACGGCAAATCCTCCTACGGCAGGGATCCGCTCAACCGGATCATTTGTAATCACTCGTTTTACTGCACTTTGCACTTTCTGAAGCAATACCGAGTGCTCTGAGAGCAATCTAGGAGTTTGACTCGACTCTGAAACAAAAGCAATGCAATTACGACACGGAATAATCTAATCTCATCTAATCTCATCTAATCTCATCTAATACGACAAAACACATCCATTGATATATGCTCGCAAGACAAAGGAAATCCAAAACATCAAATTGTACAGCACCTCCATCTCAGTAGCACTTGCGAGTGCTCAGAGAGCACTCCATACTGCTATTCAAAAACCCATCAATTCATATATGCTCGCAAGACAAAGGAAATCCAAAACATAAAATCGTACCGCACCTCCTCCATCTCAGTAGCAGTCGCGAGTGCTCAGAGAGCAATCTGTACAGCTTTTCAAAGGTTAGTAGTGAGAAATCCGCAGGAAGAGTGGTGAGAGACTATACCAAAGGAGACTAATGATGCCCACCACCATCACCACCACCACCACCTCCACCGTCTCCAGCTGGCCCACCACCTCCACCACCACCACCACCACCACCACCACCGCCTCCAGAAGGTCCACTACCACCACCACCACCACCACCGCCCGGAGGTCAGCCGGGAGGAGGAGGATGAGGAGGAGGAGGAGGAGGAGGAGGAGGAGGTCAGCCCGGAGGAGGATTACCACCACCACCACCACCACCACCGCCTCCAGAAGATCCACCACCACCACCACCACCACCACCGCCTCCAGCAGCAGCCGCGAGTGCGTCAGCAGCTCTCTTGGCTGCTATCCCGGCAGGTGTCCAGATTACTCCCTGTGCAAAGTTTGCGTCAGCAACCCCTACGCCCAGAGGATACTTCCTCAGGTATTTGGGGTCTAAGTCATCGATAGCATCCTGCTGTCTATCACGACGTCTAACAAGAGTCTGGATTAGCTTTTGATTACTGGCATCAGTTCTGGGCAAATATACCCTCATTCTTTAGCATTTATGTGGTGATTTCCCTCCTCGTAATCAGAGTCCTCTGCTGGAATATCGATCATGGTGTAATCGTCTTCCTCGATATGAGAGAATGCTCGTGTCAGCGGCGGTGTTTCAACACCACCCAAATTAGCACCCGCGCCCGCTCTGTGGAGTACCGCCAGTATCCTCCGAGGCCTGCCAACGCTATTCTTCAACCAACCCTCGACCTCTTCCGAATCAGTGATCTGCACCTCCATCGGCTGAACAGGAGGATTGGATGCCGGTGGAACGTTATCGAGTGCTCCCCAGATACTCCTGATTGCTCTGTTGGGTGGGGTGTGCTTCAGGATCAAATTGCAGAGCTCTGGAAACGTTATCTTGGTCAGAACTCCAATGAACGAATTCTGATTTCGTCGATGGTTCCAGTCATAGATAGGGGGCGGGGCAACCCTGGAGAATGCTCCTAGAGCATCCGGGTCTACCACCGTAACCATTATGGAAGGTCTATCGAGATCTGCGGACACTGGGTCCCGTTTACGCTTCTTAGAGCGTTGGGCGGGCAGACCACCGTCCTCATCATCATCGCTATCATCAGCAACTTCTTTATACTCGCGATTTCCCTGCCCCCTCAATAGCTTTTCCTTCCGCCCAACATCAGCGATTAGCCACTTCAAAGCGTCCGCGAGTGCTCTGCGGGTTGCGGAACCGCCTCCGTTCCACATAGGCAGGAAACCACTGAGAGGGTGTATGTTCAACACATGGAGGCATAGAGCATTGAACGCTGCTGTTCCGGAAACGGTTTTGTTGACCCAACCGGTGTTCTGCATCTCCGCTTTGAGGCCGTTGCGGATGTTAGTGTGCGATTTAGAGAGGTTGATCAAACCTAAAGCCATCTTTACTTTCTTTGCCTGAGTCATTTTGCTGGTGTATCGGGCTTGAGAGATTGGGGATGATGCTTCTGGAGCACTGAGGTATGCTTCTGGAGGACTGGCGTATACTACCTGAGCACGCGGGGGAGTTTCTGGGGCATGAGGGGGAGTTTCTGGGGCACGATCTCTGCGGCTTTGCCTCTGCTCTGCCGGTGGAGGGGAACTAGGTATTGGTAGCCGACGGCGAGGTCGGGATTGAGAGCTCTGTGAAGCACTGGCGACTGCTTCTGGAGCAGGGGCTCGAACTGGAAGTACGGTTCTACGGACAGGGGCCGACGGTTGTCGCGGCGAGCTGCTCAATTCTGGGGAAGTACTGGAGACTCGTTGAAGTGCTCGTCCTCTTTGGGGTTTTGGGCCTGCTGCTGGGCCTGCTGCTGTCCCTGCTGCTGGTCGCTTTGCGGAGTGTGTTGCTGGGCCTGCTGGGCCTGCTGCTGTGCGTACTGCTGAGCGCTTTGCGGAGTGTGTTGCTGGGCCTGCTGGGCCTGCTGCTGTGCCTGCTACGGAACCTTCGCTGTCGGACTCAGCTTCAGATTGCACTGATTCCAACTCTTTTGGGAAGAGCCTCGAGTGCCGAGTGGGCGGTGATGAGTGCTGAGGAGATGGTGACGAGTGCTGAGGGGGTGGTGACGAGTGCTGTCGGGAGCTTGAAACCACTCGGGGATGCTTCCGGGAAGACGACGACTGCGGCGGGGGTGTCTCTTCTATCTCTTCTGGGATAGGCTGGAGGCTTTTCTGCTCTTTGCGAGACGAGGAAGGGGAGGACTTCTCGTTCTTCTTCTGCTCCTTCTTCTTCTCCTTCTTCTTCTCCTTCTTCTCCTTCTTCTTCTCCTTCCTTTCCTTCCTTCGGCGTTTTTTGCTATCTGATTCGTCGGTGTCTGGATCGCGATCTCGCTTCTTCTGTGAGCGCTCTGGAGTGCCTTGAGGGGAGGATGAAGGCTTTAGTAAATATGTGATGAGTATGGTTCTGAAAGCAATAGGATTAAGGAGGATATACCATCTTATATATGATCGCTAGGTGTGCAGCTTGAAAGCTTGAACTTGAAACGAAACTTGAAACTTCAAGTTGAAGCCTAAACTTGAAACGTGAGCTGAATGCGCTTTCAAGAGGTATCTTGAACGCTTAGATAGCAGGGAGGGGCTTGAAGTGATAGGTAGCGCTGGAAGATGGTTAGGAAGCTCTCACGATCTGGAAGGAGGAGAAGGGTGCTCTTATACCGAATACAATCAGCTATTCAAGGGCTCATCATGCTTCCGAGAGCACCCCCGTGTGCTATACGAGCATCCTCGGGTGCTGTACGAGCATCCTCGGGTACTGTACGAGCACCCCCGGGTGATCCCACCAGTGCTGCATATGGTGCTCCAAGCCGTCCTCAATGTTTGCTCCAATACATGACGTAGATCAATGCTCTAGGCGCACTCGAAGATTCTACTCTGGAGGTTTGTGTAAAGAACCATGGGCGAGGCGGAAGCTGAGGGGTCGAGGGACATGATTAGGTCCCCTAGAGGGTAGGATAGGCCTCGCGAGAGGGCGAGGGATGATGCAGTGGTATACCCGAAGGCAGGGACAGCGGTCTGTAGAGAGACAGAGGGGAGGACAGCGACGAGGGCCGCGAAGGACGCGGCGAGGAACAATGAGGCGGCGAGGATCATAACAGCGGATGCACTGGGCATGAAGGGCAGCAGACGTAACGTGAACTGAGAGTAAAGTAATGTATTGAAGCGAAGTAAATCCCCCAAAGTAATAACCCAAAGTAGAATACAAGATGTTGCGTAAGGAAAGAGAAGAAGAAACAACAGAAGACACAAGTCGCTTTATATAGTAAGGAAATGACAACCGATTACTAATCCCACGGAACCTTCCAGACTCCCTAACCGTTCATACATTTAGTACAACAATATAGTTCGTAACAGTTTGATTTAATTGAATGACGTAGATGAATGCTCTAGGCGCACTCGGGAATGCTCTGACAGTAGTACCAACAGTGGTGTCGATTGGATTCCTATGTTGGGTTGGTGTTTGTGTTCTTGTTGGTGTCGGGGCTCTGTGCGCTATGAAGCTGAGTCGGAGAGTGTGTATCCTCTGAGCGCATATCCGATATTAGTATCGAATTTGGCGGTGAGAATGGTCTCTCCATGATCTGAATAGCATCCGCGAGTGCTCAGAGAGAGAGAGCGAATGCTGAGAGGGTAGAACGAAGCATCGTTGGCGGCATGATTGTGGTGATTGTTGTTTCTTCTCGTTTTATGCTTGTGTTTGTGTGTGCATTATTCCGTTGGAGATGTATGACGTCAAAATCAGCCTCGCTATGGTGGAGGTGCGAGCACAAGGCTCACAATCACTTGGCGAGCACTCTGCAGTGAGCACTCTGTAGAGCACACTGCACAACCGCTTGGCGGCGAGAGCCTCATTGGATGACAAATCGTTCGTAGAGAACTCTGCACCGCCTGCAGGAAAGAGCCTCCGCCTTGGCAGACTGCAAATTCTCGAGTCCAATGAAATCGTCTTGCCCTTTTTGCAGCAAGAGGTACAACTCCTCCACGAATTTTGACAGACATCTTCCAACGATCCATCCTTTGGAAGCAGATGAATGGCTGGGAAATCAATATTCACTGCTGGAGCACGATCAACCTGCAGAGACCCCCGACAACACTGACGAGAGCCCAAAGAGCATTCCCGATTACTATTCAGACACGCATTACGATTCAGAGTCGGACATTTTCGACCAAGATTCGGGTAACAATTCGGACCTCGAATCCGAATCATATTTCGTGATGGAAGAGGCAGATAACGATTCAAATGGGCATAGTAGGGCATCTACGACAGTTTACGAGGGTGCTGGGGAGCCACTTTACCGCTCGGAGGACTACGACGAGTGCTCAGAGAGCCTTCTCCAATACCCATGGCACCCATTCCGGTCAGCATACGAGTTCAGAATGGCACGCTATTTCACACTGTCCAAAGCCTCACAGGGGAACATCGACAGCTTCTTTCTACACGCTCCGCCGAGTGGTGGCGAGTGCTCCTACAGCACTGGGCTGGGTTTTATCAAGAGGTTGGAGGAAATGAACGATATACTGGGAAAGGCGAGCTGGAATCATTCGGAGATGGATATTGGGGGCGAGAAGATCTCTTACTACTACCGGGATCCAATGGTAGTCGTCCGATATCTTCTAGGGCAACTTGCCTTCCGGGAGTCATTAATGTATTCGCCCGTGGTGGAGCATAATGAATTCGGCGAGCGAATGTACGTGGAAATGCATACAGGAGATTGGTGGTGGGAGATACAGGTCCGTAAACTTCACCCTGTCAACTTGAGGTGCTCTATGAGCAGTCGATGATGCCACAGGAGCAGTCGCTAATGTCTTCTCGACAGAATACGTTACCGGAGGGGTCCACTGTCATACCAATTATCTGCGCGTCGGATGGCACACATCTGACAAATTTCAGCGGGGACAAGAAAGCCTGGCCAATCTATCTTACCATCGGGAACATCAAGTCGTCGGTGCGCAACAAGCCCACAGGGCATTCATTCATTCTCCTAGGGCTGCTACCAGTGCCACCGAAGCTCGGAAAGAATACAACACTCGCTAATTGCGTTTTAAGACGTCAGAGTCAAATGGCACTGCATCGTGCCCTTGGGGAGATCTTTCAAAGCATTCGCGAGTGCTCTCAGGAGGGCGAGCTAATCAAATGCGCCGATGGCTATGAACGACTATGCTTTCCGGTGCTCTCGGGCTGGATCGCCGATCAACCCGAGCATTCAAACTTGCAAAACATTAGCACTAGTGCTTGCCCGAGATGCGAGGTGGAGTTTCACAATCTTGGGAGCACTCGTCGAAGCTCTATGCGCAATCACGAGGACTACAGGGAGAGGGTACAGCTATTTGGCGAGAACCCGGGCAATCTAGAACCGGTAGAATACCTTGTTGGGAGATCCGTCAAAACACTCTTCAATGCTTTCTGGGGTATGCCGAGGGTTAATCCGTACGATCTCAATAAACCGGACATACTGCACAATATTTACCTGGGGATGTTGAAGCACATGATGGAGTGGATTCAGGGTTTCTTGAAGAAGCATCATCGATTGGAGGAATTCGACAAAGCTTGGGCTTCGATTGCGCCTTACCCTGGACTAGCAGTACCAAACAAGGCATATCGTTCTACCACCCAATGGCAAGGGAAAGAGATGCGGAATCTGGGGCGGGTCGTTCTAGGAGCACTCGCGGCTGCTCTGAGAAACCCGGGAGTGGCTGTCAGGAGCGACTTCGCAAAAGCTTTGAAATGCGTTCGAAGCCTAATAGACTTCCACTTAATGGCGCAATATAGGAGTCATACAACGAGCACACTGGACTATATGGAGAGCTATCTCGAGGATTTCCATAAACACAAGGATATCTTTTCAGAATTCAGGGCGTACAAGAAGACGTTAAAGGATGCGAGAGATCGAACGAAAGCAATTAGTGGCTCCCAGAGCACCCAGCGAGGCTTGGAGGAGATCCGGGAGATTCGGGAAAGATCGCACTTCAACTTCATCAAATTGCACGTCTTAATGCACTACCGGGAGCACGTTGAGCGCTTTGGTAGCATTCCTCAATACTCCACGGACGTCAGCGAGCTTGCCCATGTACGGCAGGTAAAAGAAGCTTACAGAGCGTCCAACAAGGTTGATGCTGCGACGCAGATACTGGACTATGGAGGGAGGTGATTGGCGTTAGAGATTCGAATTCTGAATCTGAAAGACATCGTCGGAGGTTCTGAGAGTACTGACGACATCCTCTGGAGCCATCGGGATAACCTCAAGGAGTTGCTCGACATTTTCAACATCGAGGGCCGCAAGAAAACGCCAAACGAACGCTCAATAGTAGAAAGCGGACTGCCACTGAAGCGTCTTTGCAACCCCTCGGCGAAATCGGAAAGACTTTTCAACGTGGCAGACAGACTGCAAATGAGCCATATCACGCTATATCGCCTGATAAAGGAGTATGCCGAGGATGCGGGATGCTCTCAGAGCTTTGCCGGAAGCTCTGAGAGCATGTTGGAGCGCCGGGTTGTGGTTTTCACATGCTTGCAGGTTCCAATACCAATCTTCCAAAGGCCTGACGTATACGAGGTTCACAACATCAGGTGTACGGGAACAGCATCTTTTAGGAAGGGGAAAATAAGAAAGGATTGGGCATGGGTATCGGTAGGTTCTTCAGAGCAGTGGGGAGTGTTTCGGGGACGCTTACCAGGACGTGTAGAGGCTCTGTTCAAGGTGCGGGATAGCACAGGGCGCGCACATAGACTATATGTAGTTGAGCTACTTGAGGTGAAGGATCGTTGTATCGCTGATAGCTCACATGGGCTGCTGAAGGTCTGTAGGAGGAGGAGGAAGAGGATGTGGGTCGTGAATATTCGGAGTATATTAGGAATGGCCTATTTGTTCGAGGTGGATGCTGGCAATTGGCTGGTAAATACTAGGATAGATTTGCGTACGTGGAATGAATTCAGTTGAATGCTGTAAAGCATTCCCGAGTGCTATGCAGTGATGTGAGAGGATCACCGAGTGCTATCCAGTGATGTGAGAGGCTTACCGGGTGCTATCCAGTGAGAGCATTACCGAGTGCTATCCAGTGATGTGAGAGGATTACCGAGTGCTATCCAGTGATATGAGAGGAATACCGAGTGCTATCAAGTGATATGAGAGGAATACCGGGTGCTATTCAGTGAATGCTCTGAGGGTAGTGGCGAGTGCTCTACGAGTGGAATGTTAGACCCAATAGGACCGTCTAATTCAAAATTCGTGTCGTTCTGCTAGTACGCATGCGGATTGGAAGAGGGAGGTGAGTATCGGCCGCTCAGTATCTGAGTCTGACTATCCAGCAAGCCAGCTCCAGGAGGGCGCGGTAGGCAGGCATTGGTCTTCCGACCAGTAAAGTCATCCTGCACCTTTTTCCAGTCCATGTTTGCTGCTTATGCATGGACATTGAGCTTTTCAGACGAGCCGTACAATGGCCTCAACCTCAAGGCTTATGCCTTTCATGAATCGACAGATACATACACGTTCGTCAAAGGTTTGGTAGCCATCTCCAGTATACACGACAGTGCCCGTATCAGTATTCCGCGACTGACCGTTCAGCGGCGTGAAGAATACCCACGTGAGATATTGTTTGAGAGACCGGCGATGCCTAGCTTGCCTTTGAAGAAAGCGTATCGATTCATATGGGTCTAAGTGGGGGGTGTGCCACCTTGAATAGTATTATTAAAGATGTTTCCGCAGCTCTACGAGTATTAGTCAGTGCTATGGAAGCATTCGTGGTGCTCTCCAGACGTGAGCAATATCTCTTGGCAGTACCTGGAAAAACTCGTTGACGAAGAGTGTCTTGGCGTGGGCGATATGCTCTGGCGGTGCCTGGCGAGCAGCTCGTTGAGAATGCTCTCCTGGCGCAGATAGTACTGACGAGTGCTCTCTAGGTGTGAGCGATATGTTCTGGCAGCGCCTGGCGAGCATCTCGTTGTGATTTGATCTCCTGGTGCAGATATTACTGACGAGTGCTGTCAGCACGCTGACGCTGTCTCCTGGCGGGCCCCGACACGTCCGTAATTCGTTGCCAGTCCCTGGGCGGAAACTCATTAGTTGATCGTTCTCCAGACGCAGGAGACATACTCAGGCATGTCATGGCAGAGAGAGCATCGCCGGGTGCTCTCAGGACGAGCACCATATCGCCTGGAGGTGCATGATGCGTGAAAGTGCACGACGCGCCTAGAGAAGATTGCGGAGAGAGCATTGCTGGGTGCTCTATGGATGTAGGTGATATCGCTCAGAGTACTCTGTAGACAGTAGCATTAGCGAGTGCAAAGAAGCTCATTAGGGAGTGCGAATATGCTGCTCTGACAGCGGACTACTTGGAGTGAGTTCTCTGCTTGGATCGAGTGCTCTGCTGGAGTGAGTGCTCAAGTTGCAGTCATGAAAAGCTCTCTTCTCTGACGTCGTCAGATGATTGGCACTGCGCTCTGGCGGAGTGTATAGACGATTATGCGCCCTGGTGCTGCCAGACAGAGAACATACTGCTCTGGGGGCATCGGGCACGGATGCTAGCATCGCCTGGCGCGAGCACCCTGCTGTGGCGACGCCTGGCGCGAGCACCCTGCTGTGGCGACGCCTCGCATGAGTAGTCTGCCCTGGCGACGCCTGGCGCGAGCACCCTGCTGTGGCGCCACCTGGCGCGAGCGCTCAACCCTGGTGACGCCTGGTACGAGCACTCTGCCCTGGCGGTGCCTGGCGTGCCTGGCGCCCAGGGCATAGGCGCTGCGCCCTGAGGAATAGCAGAGTTTGCTGATGTATTCTGGGCGAGGTTAAGCTCTTGTTGAAGAGTCTGAACTTGTTGGCGGAGATCATTATGCTCCTGGAAGTATCTCAAACCCTCTGCAGCCCATGTCGTAAGGTTACGATGAAGGGTAACCTGGTCGAGGGTGTATAGTCTTTGAAATTCAGCGAGTGCCTCAGGGAAATTCCACTGAGATGGTGGCGAGGAAGACATTGCGTATCAGGAGTCGATATAAGTCGACGCAATGTAGTCTCACGGGGCGGGGTTCTGTAACAAGGATGTAGGCAGGTACCGAGGCAAGAATCGACTCGGATACGTTCTAGGACGAGTACAGGGGACCGGGCTGAATACCGATCAAAACAGAATAGAATTTTACTAACAAACAGAATGAAGACGTTGCGTAAAGAAGAAAGAAGAAAAATACAAATATTAAGAACAAAGCCTCGAATATAAACCCCAAAGAATAACCCAATAACTAATCCTCACAACCACACCTAAAGAAATATCAAACAAATATAATAACGTCCCACAACCGATCCCGATCCTTCTCCCTACAACCTAACCCAAAGCGCCTAGCGCTTACTGTATCCTCCGAGCACCTTCCTAACATATCCAACCTAATCGAAGCCATTCTGATCCTTCATCTAACAATTCGATTCCGTAGCGTTCTCGTCGGCAGAGCAGGTGAGGGCGGTCGGGCCGTGATATAGGGCTGGGAATTATAGGGATGCAACATTATTGTTCCCTTGGTTTATGCACCATAACTCTATGAGTTTTCGAGATTAAGACAAGTCCTTTTCTTAGCATCTAGTTGGACAACCTTCCAAAATTACGAATTTAATTCTTGAAAACTGGTTGTGTTGTTGACTACCAGCTTTGGGTGCATAAAGGTGTAGTTGAGGTGTGGTGAGGTTGCAGTTACCCTACTGCCAAGCCTGTTCCACCCACGAAACCTGACTTGTCACCTTTTGTCACCTTTATGCGTGGGCGCACCACTTTTTATGACTTCCCTTGTTCTTTACTACTGCTGCAATACTCTTTGGTATGCTGTCAATGATTTTATATACATTTTCCCAATCTAGCCTTTCCCACTCTTCCCTAGATTGGGCTTCAATAACTTTTATGTTTTCATTAAGAGTAGCCTCTCTTCACTTTCCGGACTTGTCAAAAGGCATGGCTAGGGAATACTCGTAAGGCTGTATTGCGGGTGTGGGGATGTCAAGTTAGACGCACTCGTTGTCACGCTACTCATTGTTTCCTCACTTTTTTCCTGCGGGTGTACATACATGATCAACGGCTCAAAACCCCGCTTATACTCATTACATCCACCAATTCTTTATTCAACCACCACCGCCATCGCTGCCGCCGCCTCTTACCATCATAAACGGTTCTTCGACTAAGCGTTACACTAATTGTACTCGATTGAGAATGCCTCCACGACCTAGGCTTCGGGATAGGGCGCGGGCATTTGGGGCAAAACTCGGCATTGGTTCTCGCTCAAGGTCCATCAGCCCAGCTCCTCCGCCTCCTCCTTCTCTTCATCCTCTTCCTCCAGCCAGAGTCCAAGTACAGTCTTCATCTTCTCAAAGGTTTCCACCCGCGCGATACAAGGAGATCGCTTCATCTCTAAAAAGACTTAGCCAACTTCGCGAAACAATCTAGTCTATCCCTGGAACCCCACCTGCATCTACTTCAATTACAAGCCTGCCCCCAATACTTACAATAACGTCTCCATCATCTCCACCAAGTACACCCGCACCAACCTCATCTGTACAGTCACTACCTGTAGTGCTCGCCACCCCACAATTACAACCACAGCCACAACCACAACCAACATTACCACCGGAAAATCTTGCTTTCGTAGAGGCGTTGAAGAAGCATATAGACACCCTAAACCCCGAGAAGCGACTACAATTTAAAGCTGGCAGTACCACAATCACACCCGAAGGACTGATAGCCCAAACCAGAAAATACGATGAGATTCACAACCTCGCAAGTGGTTCTCGGCGGTGCGTATCACGGGTCGAATATTTCTTGAAAGCAGTGGATTCGTATTTAAAACCAGTGTCGATAATGGTTGGGCATAGCCCGGAGTTCTCATCGCTCGTTGTCGGAGCCGTAAAACTCACTATAGAGGTATGTGTTTCTGAATACTCTCACGTGCGCGCGCGTGCTCTATACTTACACTGCTGATATTTTCGCAAATCTATTGCAGCTTGGACTGAAATTTGCGGATTTTTTCAAAAGATTAGCGGAGATGATGGAATTCCTAGGCAATCATTTAGGGTATCTCTCCCAATATGCAGCAAACTTTAATCATTCTAAGAAAGTGCGAGGGGTATGCATTAGGATAAACTCGCGCCGAACAATAGGAGAAACAACTGATGTGCTGACTCCCTTAGGCTTTGGCTTCCGCTTATGGCGATTTGCTCAGCTTTTGTACGGGTGCACGGAATGTGTTTCTTGACAAGCAAGGAAATGAAAGTCGTAAGTAAAATTAGCCAAAAATATCAGAAATATTTACACCAACACCTTTAGAACCATCTAAAATGATTTTATAGAATCAGTGGCTGATAAATTTAGGTCGGACATCATTCCGGATTTTCTTGAGGAGCACATGGGAACCATTTGACGAGAACTTCAACACTCTGAACTCTAACTTCCGAAATCACGTTGATATCGTCATTCGGACAGCTGCTATAACGGAGCATGAGAGGCTACTCTCCAAGGAAATGTTGGAGGTGGAGGAGAAAGAAGGTGTGAATTAGTTAGGATTCCTTATTGCATAAGATCAGGTCTAACCCCATCCTTGGACGAACTAAGGCACAAATTGCTGGCCTGGCTCTCGGAGCTAGACTTTGACAAGGACCATGAGCGCATCTATAGCAGGAGGCACGGGGATACTGGGAATTGGCTCGTTGACTCCCCTGAGTTCAAAGATTGGGAAGATTCTAAAGAATCCTCTTTACTTTGGTGCTACGGAACTCGTGAGACACCTTCCCTCCATTCCCTTGCGCAAAATCCCGACGTCAGCCCACAAACTAACCTATACTAGCTGGCGTTGGAAAATCTGTTTTAGCGTTCATCCCCTTTTTTTTTACGTTGATATCTCTGATGTGTACTCTTCAAGCCGTTGGGCTGGACCCGAATGCCAACTGTTAGTCCTATATTAGAATGGCCTTTCGCCTTCTATACTTACTATAGATATATCTCTACCGGATGACATTTTGGTTCTATCCTGACACTTCAAGTGGTACGTATATAGAATGACAATAGTAACAATTTATAGGTCCCTAGTTCTAGAAACAATCTCGGCCAAATATTCGCTCAATAGTCGGATCGGCGTAGCATTCGTATACTTCAACTTTCAACACCAAGGGATTCAGAAATCAATCAGAGTGCTCTCCACAATGATCAAGCAACTCGCCCGCCAGAAGAAAGTACTACTAAAAGCGTTGAAAGAATTCTACAGGCAGTATTATGTACAGGCCAGTTTCCCAACGGAAGGGAAGCTCAAGGCGCAGCTCGAAGATCTCTCGGACAACTTTGATCAAGTTTTTCTTGTCATGGATGCGATGGATGAGTTTGAGGATCGGGAGGGCTTCCTACCAATCATCAGTGGATTTGCGCAACGCTCTTCTGCCAACGGTTCCGCCATATTCAAAATCTTTGTCACCAGCCGTAGAGAAAAGGACATCGAGAAAACCTTCACTTCACACAACTTCCCAACAATCCGAATCGAGGCAAAGAAGGTTGACGCTGATATTCAAAACTTCATTCAATACCAGTTGAAGAAAAGATCCGGAGACGTGATCATGGACCAGAACTTAAAAGCCAAGATCGCGCAGGCTCTTATCTCCAAGTCCAGTGGAATGTAAGTCGATCACTTCACTATTACAATTCAACAATGAGAGATGCAGAGTATCCGTGGTCCACGAGGCCGTACAAGTCGGCGGTACGATGGTAAAACCGAGGTGTCTCGAGGCGGCGAAGCAGGGGTATTTTCTTTCAATGTTGGCAGATAAGGTCCTATGACAGAGCTGCTGAGCATTGACCTTGCCCAGTATCTCAGCCCTGGTATCGGATCCACCGTTCAGTAGTAGTCCACACTCATTGAGCTTCACAAGATACAAGCTCCTGCCAGCATCGGGACACTGAAGAAAAGCTGGCTGCGGGCCTCGAGATACCCCAGCTCCATCGACCACACCGCAGACTAGGAATGGACTAGCACTGATCATAACATATAGGTTTCTATGGGTTCGATATCAGCTTGATTACATCTACGAGCAACCATCCGTCGAAGATATCAAAGAAATCTTGGATCCGTTGCCCCCTGATATGAACGCAACATACCTTCGAATTCTGGAGAAAATCGACAAACAGGTTCCTGCACGGCGGAATATTGCAAGGCAAACCCTAAAGTGGGTAGTCAATGCCGGAAGACCGCTTAAACTTAGGGAACTGGCCTTGGGAGTCTCTATTAAACCAAACTCCACAAGCCACAAGGATCTGAAAGATTATGAGCAAGAAGTAATTCTCGACATCTGTGGCAATCTACTAGCGGTGAACGATGGGATTGTGCGATCAGTTCATTACACAGTCCAAGAGTTTCTCACCGCCTCTGAAACGAATCGAATGGACGGTCCAGGGAACTCAGTTTTTTGTCAGTACCAAATTAACATTCATATGCATTCTGAGCTTGCTCAGACATGCCTCCAGTACTTGCTCTTTGAAGAGATAAGATCGCCTCAGTGGGTAGCAGGCGCCGAGAGTTCTGACGAACGATTTCCCTTTGGGTTATATGCAGCAGGATATTGGGATTATCATGTCCAAAGGATTCCGGACTCTACTTTACCAGACGACCTGGTCCGCAGTATTGACAAGTTCCTCGATTCCGATGGACAAACTCTTACGCTAGCTTTCCACATGCGTAATTGCGAATACAGGCCTTATGCGACAGTTGATGCGTTAAATTACTGCCTAGCCTTCAACCTACTCCACCTGTACCAGCTGTCGCATCGCTTGGATACATCAGCTGCTCGGGATGAATATCAAGATGCGCTGCATCACGCTGCTGGAGGCGGATCCACAGCTTCTATCGATATCCTTCTCGGGATGGGCTTTTCGGTTAATGGACGTACGCGTGACGAGTATCGGGAATGTCCACTCCAGTACGCGGCTGCGGCTGGACACACGGCAGCCGCTGAGCTGTTGCTGGACAGAGGTGCGCATGTCGACGCAACTACGAGAGATGGCTCTACTGCGTTGAAAGCCGCAGCATGGAGAGGTCATCAGAGCTTGGTGCAGATGCTCTTGAAGAGAGGCGCCGATGTCAACCGTGCGCGCGGACATAATTGCTGGGACGACGTCTACCCGGGCGGAAGTTACCAATGTTCCGCCCTGGCCGCGGCGGCCGAGGGGGGAGATCGAACCACAGTTCAAAAGCTCTTAGACAGCGGCGCCGATGTCAACCTCACTAGAGGAAAATACGGCACCGCCCTGACCGCGGCGGCCGCGACAGGAGAGGAAAGCATAGTTCAGATCCTCTTGGACAACGGTGCCGATGTCAACCTCACGGGCAAAAAGCATGCAAGTGCCCTAGAATTAGCAACCAGGTACGGGTACAAAGACATACTGCGGCTGCTTTTGGATAAAGGCGCTGTTCCAGCCGATACAGAAATAGTCGACGCGATCTAGCCTCCTTCCCGATCGGACACCTCATATTCTGTCCAGCCCTTCGTTGGTTCGATCAGGTGAGCCTCCACATTCTGCCTGGCACAGTGGCTTTCATTTTCTTATTTCCCCCATCTGGGCCAGACAGGTAGCTGAACCACGGGCTCACTGGTCATATGAACGTGGAATCCTTTGTTTGTGGTTTTTGGTTTCATCTCGTGGTCATATTTGGGGTTGTTACTTGAGCTTTGTGCAGTATACAAGGAATTTCTCAACGCTTTGTGTAGTATGTGTATACTGTGCTTCGTGGGAGCATACAGGACCTCCGTAGAAGTATGAGGAAGTGAGAGGAGCATATGACAGCGGTGAGAACACAGCCTAACCTAAGGCTTGCCATTATATTACGCCATCATATATACCATGAAGATATTAGGAAGGGAGGACTCTTCCTCCTGAGCGACACTTGAAGTCTTCTTCACAGTTATCGAGAGATTGGCTTGAGCCTCCCCGGAAACGGAAACACTGCCATCGACCCCGAATCTTTCGCCATCATAAACCATTTCTACCAGTAAGAAACATCCCTTATCCAAAATTACTATCGAACAGCACTGGACAGATATTATTTGAGTGATTCGCTATTGTAGACAATGAGTATAATGCATATACCGCCAGCTAGCTATGGCCGTAAGATCTATGAGTACATAACCTTTATCGTCTGTTGTCTCTGAGCTGCCTCACACGTATGATCACACCAATTGAAAATATCAGAGTACCCGTAAATATCTTGACAGACCCCACTCTAAAGTGGAGCCTACATGTAGCTTCTACATATCTATCGGTAGGTGCGGATAGGTCCAACTGAAATAACCCTAACCCCCAACGGTTCTAACCTAACCCTTAATCTGGTGACAACATAACACGCTCTCACTAAAACTTACTTACACTGTTTTTCCATTGACCTCCTCCCTAGAAACCCTTGTTTTGTGTTTCCGGCGAATATGACTTGTAAGCCCCTCCCCTTCTACACGGTCCATTTCCTGGATTTCTCATCACTTGTTTGATGGTAGACTAGATTGATTTGGCGTGGCTGTTTCTTTCATCCATCGAAAATGTCTAGATCCGTTTATCGAGGCCGACGCCTTACCTCTACCCATTCCTTTCTTTCTTGTTCTTTCCGGGTCCCACATCCCTTAATCTTTCTATCAACACACCTACTCAAAGGATGCGTTCCCGTGGACGTTCGCGTGGCCCGACGCGCATGGACTATACTTTTGGGGCATCCTACACAACATACGTTTGTAAATATCATTGCCGTACTCTTATGGTTGAGAAGCCCGATCTACTCCCGAAGCATCTTATTACCATTGCGGCTCGGGTATTCCGGCTAGACCACCATCCCCATGCGGTAATGTGAGTACAGTCCTCAGGTGTCTGGCCGTAGTATTATATATTAGACGACATGATCATATCTAATGGAGCGATATGTACTATATATACTACACGCCAGTTGCATTCCCGCAATTGGTGTATTATGATTACATGTATGCGCCGTCAGCTGCAGAGGGCTCACAGAACCCGGTAATTGGACTTTGTAAGTCTTATCCCCGAAAGGAGATCATTTTCGAGTGCTACAATTTAAATAAGGGCACCGCCGACTGCCGTGCATGCTCGGCACGTTAGAGCTGGTACAAATATTGCTGCGCAGTATGACTGAATGCGCAGTTGAACCTACCGTTTCTATCTCGAATCCTACCTTGAATAATTTGGAAGGATTTGAAATCATACACTAAAGGCAGGAAACATCGCGATAGAAGCACATACTATGCACCTGATGTCATTTCCGCACCGTAAAAGTGTTGAAGGTCCACCTCTTCAAATTTCATCATGCACGACAATGGTGAGACCAAGATATTCGGGGACATATGGCTGCGATATATATTAAGTTCTCTCTACACTTACAATGTCAACGACTAAAAGAACATATTTTAATCCTATGAAAACATTTGATCGGTCAAAGCATTGTCGTAAACCCACAAATTAATGTCTGTATCGAATCGCATACAATCGTTGTGGGGATAGAATATCTCAGAACTACATACCTATCTAATAAAATAAAATATCGACAGTTTTCATGCGCAGTTGTCGTCTTATAACCAGCACAATTGCAAGGTATGAGGCAAAGGTATGATCTTGGAACCGGCCACCCCACTCAGCCTATGGTCACTACCCTAAATTTCGCTCTAGGTCGCTCTCATCGTATCATTTCTTTAATTTGCGATGTAAGACTTAAAGACGGCGGGCCAACAGGTTCCACACCTAAACAGCCGCATGTATGTATGAATAAATGAATCATCAAATCAACAGGCCTTGCTCAATGTCTCACGAGTGATATCTCGTGCTCGAGTGACCGTTCATGATCAGCACGGCTCATCACCTACGCAAATCATTTCCTAGTTGGAATTGGACACCCAGCCACAATCCAACACATATACACCAAATACACCCATTGATATCAGCACTAATCACACACATCTGGTCTATGAACCCTAGATCGCGCAAGATCAACAATAAGCAATTCGGAAATATTCTTCGCAAAGGTTGCTCCACCTAGATCTCATATCTTAACGATCCTTACTTTGTACTTGTATTGATCAAGGAAGCTATCAGTGGAGGAAGAGAACGCTCTTGGCGCAAGATTTATGGCATACCCAAGATCTCAAAATCTCGATTAAGATTAAGTTATAATAATAAGCCTAGGACTTTTTTTTTTTCTTTTTTTTGTTTAATTCATTAATTGCATGCAACTAGTAGGCCTAGGACAAACATATATATATATATATATATACAATTGGAGGGTAATAAGATATATGGTGACTAGTTATCATGATCAGCCGACGTATATATCATTAGATCTCAGCTTTATTGAGGACATTATAATCAGAGGATCTTAGGAAGAACTCATGACCAAAATCCTCGGAAGAGAGAAATCGATATCATATCATTCTTTCTCTTGACTACCAAACCTTTGGACCTATATTGATAAACGTTTGGATTCACCCCCGTTATAGTTTCAGCCTCTCTTTACATTATCACATACCTGGTGGATAATGTGGCTAGACAGTAAGGGTAAATATCATAGATGCATGGTCCTCTTGATCAGACATGGTGCTGGACCTGAACGTAGCCGTGTCAGGCCCGATTTTAGCATAAATCCCCTCATCACTTTCTTCTATCCCCTCTTCTTGTTCATTTATCACCCATAAATAAATGCAAATTTTGATTTGGACTCTTCTAAACGTACTTTCTTCTAAATTCTCAACATCATCCGCTGAAAGACTTCCATCTACTATAAACAGTCGGATAGTTTGCAATACATTCTACACAACATCCAGACTTGAAACATCTCTTTCCAGAGGATAGCTATTCTGCGTGATCCCTTAAGTGGTAGACTTCCACGAACCCAGCTCATCGAGAGTAATCACCTTGGCATGGTTGTAGACAGTCTTTAGGAACGACAAAGAGTTGTAACTCCCCCCTGAAACGAAATCACCTGCCCATGTAACCCAGTAAGCCCAAGGAGCACCCCCGGACGTCATTAGATCCGGATCAGGGACCACTCCCACCTCCGCCAATGCAATGACCCTCGATCCTCCGGTCAGTGTCTTCAAGGCATTATACTGGCTCGATTGCGCTGAATGATCTCCAGCACTGGTGTAGATATCAACCGTCGCGATATCGCAATAACTGTTTCCCGGATACCAGTTTGAGTCGGCGGTGTTGCATACCCAGACCATGTTGTGAAGTCCGTGATAACTGACCAATCGTGTGTAGACCAAGTTCCACAGCGTCTTGAAGGCAGCAGATCCTTTTGCGCCCCACCAGAACCAGGCACCTTCTGGCTCGTGCAGAGGACGGAAGAGGATAGGTACGTTAGCATCGGAAAGCCGTTTAATCTGTACTGCAATGGCGTCAATGTCGCGGAGAAGGAGCTTGTAGTTTGTGCCGGAGGTTCCCTCGTTCAGCGCAGCAGCAACATCGAAGGTTGTGGAGTCGGTGTAGAACCCTCGCCACCATTCCTTTCCGGATGTATTGATAAGGCCCGTTGGGGCGTTCCAGTGCCACACAAAGGTGTTTATTCCACCACGAGCATCCCAAGCAATCGCATCTTCGACAGCGGTGGAGGTTGCTCCGTTCGCGACACGGGATGGGGAGTATTCGATAAAGTCGCTTCCAAGAATTGCAGGGGTCTTTCCAACGTTCTGAGTGACCCAGAGGAGAGAGGCGGGGTCTTGTTGACCAGAGAGATAGTAGGATCCGTATATCTTCTGCATGTACTTGAGGAGAGCTTTAGCGCCTGCTGTGGCTGAACCGTCGATGGGGGAGCTAGTGACAGTGCCAGTGCCGGTGCCGGTGCCGGTGCCAGAACCGGTGTAGGCAATGGTGAATTCGTCAACGTCGTAGTAGCCCCAGTTGCTCTTCAGACCAACACCGATGGACCCTAGAATGATAATTTATCATCAGTAAAGACAGAAATGGATATCACCACCTTGCACACAAAGGACCTATACATACCAGTTCCCAGGGTAACTGTCCCGGCAGATATAGTGCACCACCCCGTACACGCCGGAAGCGTCAGTTCGCCTGATGTTGCGCTGTTGACGAGAATAGTCGTCTTCTTCTCACCGTAGGGAGCGCTGTAACGAATTGTGAGACTGTAAGAGCCGGCTTGGGTGATCCATGGCCAAACGGTTACTGTATCGGTGTCCGCATCAAAGCCGGTAACGTAACCTGCCCCGTTGTAGCCTGAGGTTGTGGTGCTTGTGGTGACTCCAATAAGAGTTCCTGCTTCAGCTTGGAATGTTTGGGCGAGCGTAAGGCCGACCAGGCAAAGGGCGGCGGAGAGTGAGCGCAGCATGATTCAGATGATCAATGGTGGCGCTGGGTATACTCGGGGTTTTAGAGAAGATAGGGATCTATCACTAGAGGACTTGTTGATTTCTTTATATACGCCATCTTAAAAGAGT